TGAATCAAGAATCGAGGTCAGTCTTCTGGCAGATGGGGCAGTCAACACATCCATGTGAATATTAAAGTCGCCACATAGAAGTAACTTTCCGGGTTTGTTGTTCAGGTTATCGAGGAAATCCTGAATCTCCGAGAAGAATGCATCAAGTAAGCAACTCTTTGGGGGTCTGTAAATTACATTCATGAGAATTTTCTCATTGTCAATAACAGCCTCAACTGTCAGTAGTTCAAACGATACATGTTGTGAATACGTATGAGTGATATCTGAACATTTGATATGGTCCTGAATCACAACAGCACAACCACCGCCACGTTTGCCAGATCTTGGTTTATGTATAAGACGGTAACCAACTGGGACAATCTTATTTCTTGCCAGGTGATCAATATTTCCTTCTCTAAACCATGTTTCAGTAATTGCTAGTATTTCTAGCTTGTTGTCGACAATCAAATCGTGTATAGATTGTGCTTTGTCTGAATTTATACTTAAGGCTTTTGCTGATCTTGCATTTATTAAACCAAATCTCAGAGGAGATTTAGCATAAGAAGTGGGACACCCAAGTTGGTATAAATAAACTATCGGTTACATCCTACTTGGGTTGTCAGTCCAGATTTGAAGAGGTCATCATGCGACGATGTCGTATTGGTCGTACAAGATATACTCATGACTACCTGTTAAAAGGTGAGGATCCTTGTGTATACCTTGTGATGAAAGAATCACGGTATTGATTTTTTCCATCACAAGGGATAAATATATCAATGTCAAAACAGTGAAGGATCTTTTTAATGTCAATTATCATTTAATCATTGCCTTTGTATATGAAATAGAATTACTAGATAAAGTTTGATAAATGGTCTGTAAATAGAAGAATATTATTATTATTGGTAGTTTAGATTGGTGAATGAGGTTGCTAGTGGCTGTACCCTCAAAGGGGGGTTGAGGTATTGTAAATTTATTGTCCTCCTAAGAGTGTACGTAAGTCCCGATACATTCATAATAAATTTAAACCTACTACTATTTTCAATCGTAGCATATATGTAATTTTCATGTATGGCTAGATTTATCTAAATTGCTAACAGCTGAAGGGTTGGTGTAAATCCACCTAGGCTCCATGCAGGACTGACTGACTGAGTTTGGTTTTACGCCGCTTTTAGCAATATGCCAGCAACATCACGGCGGGGGACACCAGAAATGGGCTTCACACATTGTACCCATGTGGGGATTCGAACCCGGGTCTTCGGCGTGACGAGTCAACGCTTTAACCATTAGGCTACCCCACCGCCCCGTCCATGCAGGAAGCAAGAGTACTGTAAGTGCCCATGGTCCCTAGTATGGTGATCTACCTTCAATTGTTGGCGATCTATAGCCTGTTTGTTTTATATTGCATCGTCCTCTATAGTTAAATTATTTTAGTGTTAATTAATAGTTTTAGATTGAAATCTGTGATAAACTAGTTGTTTTACTGTCTTTTGCTGGCAGGCTTTTTTTCATTTACATGTACCTTTATCTATTGTAAAAATTATAACTTGTTTGCAGTCACGATATGGCTGAAATATTGCCGATGTGACTTAAAATCTTAACTCACTCACTCACTGATTACAAAACTAGCATTAGATCGAACATCCGAGATCAGATGCAAAAGAATTGGGACACTCAAGGAGGTATCAATAAATCACATGAAATAAAACCCTACCTGTTAAAAGGTAAGGGAGCGGTGGGGTAGACTTGTGATTAAAGCATTCGCTCATCATGCCGAGGGCCCGGGTTCGATTCCCCACATGGGGACAATGTGTGAAGCCCATTTCTGGTGCCCCCCGCCGTGATATTGCTGAAATATTGCTAAAAGCTGCGTAAAACCCAACTCAATCACTCACTCCCTAAACGGTGAGTATCCTAAATTTTGTATCCTGCATGTCCTACTTGACTGTATTGATTTTTCCATCACTAGGGATAAGTATTTCAGTATCAAAACAGTTAAGGACATTATTACAAATATTGATTATCATTTAAATTAAGTAGATTTGATTGACAATTCTTTATTAATATGTTTTGTGAATAGTTATATGATATTTTGTAATCGGTAGAATAAGTTAGCAACCGAGATAGTTAGTGGCTGTATTCTCGAAGGGGGTAAAGTATTGTAAAATTATTATCCTCCTGAGTGAGTGAGTGAGTGAGTTAATATTTAACGTCACATCGGCAATATTTCAGCCATATCGTGACGAGAACACATTTGACATTGAAATGGAATATGTGTATTATCCTCATGAGAGGATACGTTGGTCCCAAAGCTTTCAAAGTCAATTTACCTCTACCATGCTTTCTTATCCAAGAATTTTTTATTGTTTTGTAATGGTTAAATACCAGTACAATCGCCAGTGGCTAAAGTGATGGTGTAAATCCAGCTAGGATCCATGCAGGTAGCAAAAGCTCCATGGTATGGTGATATAACTTCCATTTTTATATTGTATTGTCCTAATTTGAAATCCTAGGAATAAATGCTAATTATAATTCTTGATACTGTGATATACTATTTGGTTTTACTGTACTCCGTCGAGAGGTTTTTTACAATTAGTGTGTTTATCATGAATTTTAGTCACGATATGGCTGCAATACTGCCACTGTGACGATACACTTTAACTCACTCCATTTTATCCTCCCTGTGAATATTGCTGTATTTCGTGTTTGCTTGGTAAGAATAAAACTTTCAAAAATACCTGACCCGTGTGTGGATTTATTCTTGGGCGTATTTTACTCCACGTGTATGACCCGAACGAGAGAAATACTAGTATATTTACAATCATTTGACAGGTACAATAACAAGATGTTGGCTCTTTCGATTAATCTATATTCCAGGGACAATAATATCTGTGAATGGTTGATAGCATGTCTACGGCTAAAATATAACCTATTTAAGAATTTCTAATATTTGTTTGTAAATGTTCCACGTCATGACGCGTTAAGACCTGAACGAGAGAAATAGATTTGCAATCATTTGACAGTAACAATAACACGATGTTGGCGTTAATGCAGTGGATCTTTCGTTTAAACCATAACCAAGGGGCAATAACATCTGTGAATATTTGATAGCATATCTAAAGCTTATATGTGTCCTTTTAAGAATGTGTCATATTTGTTCTAATAAAACTGTTCGTACATATACTGTGTTAGGACACGGGTTAGAATGCAATAGGCTTCTTCATGAGGGTGCCTGAACATCAACTGGGCCAGTATTAAGTTCCAACAGAGTTTCCATCAATCGACTGTTGGAATCGATAAAATAACATCCAGCCACGACGAACATGAGTATATATACGTACGTATCACTAGTTTCCATATAAAGGTTTGTCATCAGCCACAATAAACGCGACTTTAAATGAAGTTTTGTTGACACTGATTAAAATTTTCTGAAACAGAGCAAGGAACCTACACATCTCAGTCATGTTTTCTCGCTCAAAAGAAATGATACCATACTACTACCTGCACAGATCACCTTTAGATGCCAGACTGATGAAACATTTCCATACCTCCGCCTTGACATATATATGTTCTGGTATTTGACACAATCAACATTCGACCTTTGTTCAATATTAATCAGTGCAGTAGTAACAGTTCGACACATGAGATGTAGGAAACGTCCAAGAGGCATGATTTCGTGTAAGAATTAACATACAACAATCTGTCCTCAACCATTAGCCATGGAATGGTGTCAACGATTGTGACGTGCATTCCAATCAGATAAGGAAAATATGCAGCAAGGACTGCGGCATAAAGTCAGATAGAATACGCCGACATGCTTATCTGTACATCTGTCATTCCCAAGGGTAGAACAATAACACTTTCATTATGCGCACCAACTTCAACACCAACTTCAAGTCTGCTATGCTGACCAGGTTCCCCAGTGGGCCTTTCAAACTATGTTGATGTGTTTGTTGTTTACTGTCACACCCAACAACAGTCCAGCTATATGTCATCAACATGTAAATAGTCGATTTAGGACAAATTACAACAACTGAGCCTTCCGACTCTTGTTGTCTCTCATAACAAACATATGTTGTAGGGGGAAATATCTATTCATTCTCAGAATAACTACTGAACCAATACACAGAGACGGAAAGCATGTATGACATGGTATCCTTTGTATGTTGCCTGAAAGAAGAGATTAACTGCTCATATAGTGACTGAATAAGTATGCAGTGTTAGAAAATACAGTGGATTTCTGAAGATTATTCCCTATGTTATTCATTCTGGGACCTCCCGTGAACATTGTACATACGACACATGGCCCTACTTATTGCATGGGTTGGTGGGTCTGTAATGTAGCCTGGAACACATAGACCCTTCAGTCTGCGACAAATGAAGGCAAAAGGACTTGTAAACAGGCAACTCAATGTTGGGTTGTGAAGGTGCAAATCCTTCTGAATCTCTGAAGTCCGTCACCCAAGCATTGCCGTCATTTCGAAGCTTCACTGGACAGATGTATTGTTCTGAAGTGTTCTGTCTGTAGCGTGTTACTTTCAGCAAGAACGGTCGCCATAAAGACGAGTAACTGTCAGTAGTATTAAGATCAGGTTCTTGAGGATCGTGTTAACGGGGAGTGAATGAATAGTCTTCAAGTGGTAGTCTTGTACCATATATTTCACGTCGGTGGACACCAGTCAAGGACATCACATATTGAACCTGCATGGACAATTCAGCCAAGTCAGTCAGGAATAATACAGTGCTACTATTACAACTATCTGAATGGTGTTGTATGGCCATCAGCTACCTCATTTTCTTGACAGCATTACTTACTGTGCCAGAACCATACGTTTACTGTTGGTTAAAACATGAACATCCACTTCCTCCATCACAAAGTGGCATTGAATTCAACACACCAATAGTATCAGTGAACCAGTGACACTTCAAAATGACACTACCTTTCATGTGATACAAACACAAAATGTATTTGAACCAACACATCGTGACACGTTGTTTCATTGAAATTATTTCCAATCAACACATTTTACATATTTTTTTTATTCAAATGGTAGTCAATAAAATATTGTTTAAGATGAACTCATTCAGTGAAAAGAACATCAACACCATCCCGGGCTCCAGACGTTCCCGAATTGTTTAGGGAAAGATGCGGGATCGGGAGGAGGGAAAAGGGCGGGGACCATCTGCTTCCGGTAATAATCAATCCGGGTTCTAAGTTTGTCAACCATGTCCGTCATCTTTGCTGCCAGATCGTTATGCTCAGTAGGATCCTCTGAAGGTGGAGAACATTTAGTAAGTGACGGATTTGTGTATCCGGCGAATTGTGTGATTACAAATGGTTGACATCTTGTGTCTGGCAGTGTTATGCAAGGACAGATTTCCTTAAAATGTGATATATTCGCAAACTAACTTGAATTGATAATTAGTTTTGTCTGCACGTACCACGAATGTTGTAGAGATGCACTGGGCTATCACCCTTCAAATATATCAGGTTATCAAAAACATCCCCTCGTGTCCTGTTCATATTAGGCTTGTACCAGCCGTCAGGTGCCCCAGGGTAGCCCATTAACAGCTTGTAGTCTCCAACCCTGTGAACAAACAATGTCACAGGATCACTTCCTTCATGATATGTAGTGTTGGAAAACACTTTGTAATAACTTTCCATGGTCCATCTTATTAGAAGTATTAGATCACAGTTGACAAGTATGTGTACATTTCAGGTGTTGATAAATACTTGGAATGTTACAAGACAGTTCTGCAACCGTATATTTAAAGTATTACCTTATTCCAGCATGTCCTTCCGTCGCAGGTTCAAAGTCGTCAAGATTGTATATGAACTCGGTCCGTGACGACGGAAGGCCATTCCTGATTGATTCCCAGTGGGTCATGCCATCGATAGATCTATCTACAACAGCATATAGATCTATGCTTGTATAAATACAGACGCAAGATCATAGGGTTATTGTGGAACCTGGTTGACAAGTACGTGTTGTTGGCACATATTAACGTGTGGGAAACTATAGTCAGGTTCCTTTGAAGACCAGGAGCAGCAACCTATGCCTGTAGCAAGAGGCGACTAATAGGACGGAGTCTTGATTGAAGCTTGCCGCAGTATATATCCCATTTGTGTTGATCGATGTCTGGGATGACAGACACTGTATTGTTAGGTACAGACTCGAATATTTACAGACTCCAATCATATAGCTGTAATCCTGCAGTGTTGAACAAACAACAAAGAAACTAAGCAGGTAGTCATTACCAGGAGTGCCACCAGCTGCTGACACCAAGGTGGGTTTCCAGTCTACTGCATGCATCATTCTGTAAGGACATGGATCCGGAATTACTCGAGTGTTGCAGATTTCGAAATTCATAAATACACACTTTAAGCTCAGAGGAGCCTTAATCGCCCCTTCATACTGATAGTCTTCTCAAATATGCCTAACGTTAAATTGAGGGTTTCTACCTACCCATTGTATGTTGTCTTGGTTTTCTTCAGTCCGGCGCCATACATTAAGGATGTCCCCCTCGTGCCTCCCTCCCAGATTGTGTGTTTCCCCCCTCTCAGAGGCCAGTTGTTCGCATTATTTTCTAGAGGACCTCCATTCTGGAATGATACCAAAGTGCTCAAGATACATAATTCAGTGATCTGGCTTTACTATTCCACAACAGAATTATGAATCTCTAAATATAGATGATTCTGCTCAATATATAACATAACAGCATAATAGCACAGTCGTTCGGGTATTTGTATGATTGTCAATGACTATGTACTCATAAACGACCTGTTTTAATATTGGTCCTTTCAACAGCTTCTGACTGTTTCTTTTGTTTGAGAAGACGACCGTACTTACATCAGTTGTAAACAGAATGAGTGTGTTTTCAAACAACCCCTTCTCCTTAAGTGCCTTCGTGACGTTCCCAACTGCATCATCGAGCGCAGAGACCATTCCTAACAATATTCCAAATAAGCATGAATTAGTAACGTAATCATATATGTAAAGGATAATGTGTTTGCATCTGGCAAGTATTTCTGATTTATCACATATCACCGATATGTATCCTTATGTTCAACTACGACTTGAGCTCTATCTGTTTCTGTATGATTTGTGTGGCTGTGATTCATGCGGTAGTGTAAAGTCCTGCAATATATTGCTGTAACATGGATAGCTACTTTGACGCATTGTACTGCGACCAGGCGATCACCCACCGACCTTTCACTCTATCAACTAAACCAGTTGAATAGGTGTGAATGTGTTTGTTATTAGATTTTGAAGAAATGTAGAGCACCTGAAAATGTTCTGCGTCCATGGTTTAACACATTAGGGTACATGTTGAAGTACTTCTCGGGAACCTGAAAAAAGAAAGATCAGCGTGTAGAATTTTATGAATATCAGCGACTAAGAATATGAATTTGCTTCACTATCGAAAGCAACTGACACATGCAATGGCGTTTGATATATACTGAGTCAAAAAAGAAACTTCACATTCTTTCTTCAGGGCACTATAAAAGAACAAGAGATGGTAAGATGGTTAAATTGTTATTATTTCATTGCTGAGATCTGTGTGATGTACTCGATACACTGACAGTGCCATAATCAGTTCCATTAGGCTACACCGCCGTTCCAAAACATGGGTATACAGAATGTCAAGTCACAAGAATAAAAATGCGAAATTTCTCAGTTCAATATCGTGTATGGCCGCCCCGCGCATTCACCACTGCCAAACACCGTCTCCTCATCGACTGCCTGATGCTTGTGAACACGTGGTTGGGGATTCTGCGCCATTGCTCTTGCAAGGCAGCGCCAAGTTCCTGCAAATTCTGAGGTTGGTTCCTAAGACCACGAAGCCTTCCCCCGTGCATCCCAAACGTGCTCTATTGGATTAAGGTCAGGGGACCTCGATGGCCAGTCCATGACGTTGATTCCAGCGTTTTGAAGGAAATTTCGTGTCAACATCGCGGTATGCGGCCGAGCATTATCATGCTGGAACTGTAGACCTGGGCCATGAGCCGCCATGAAAGGAACGAGTTCAGGGTGAGCACCTGGTCGCGGTAAGCAGCAGCTGTGAGGTTTCCACGGATGACCAGAAGTCGGGAACGGTTGTTCCCACAGAAAGCACCCCACACCATGCAACTTCCGCCCCCGAATCTGTCGACTTCCTGTACACAACATTGGGCATACCGTTCACGACGTCGTCTCCAGACTCTATGCCTGCCGTCCGCGAATCTGAGGGTAAACCTGATTCATCGCTAAAGACGACTCGATTCCAGTCTCTCTGGTCCATCGGAGGTGACGTTGGGCCCACAGCAGACGCTGACGTTGATGAAACGGCGTCAATATTGGCCCACGATATGGACGTCGAGAATGGAGATTGGCAGCCCGCAACCGATTTCGAATGGTCTGTGAGGACAGTCGACCTCTAAACATCTCAGCCCTGGTTCGTGTAGCCGGCAGAAATCTGTCACGTAGGTGACGTAGGACGATTTGACGGTCTTCTGCTCGTGACGTCACACGTGGACGACCCGACCTTGGGCGATCAGAAGTGGTGCCAGTTTGTTGTAGACGACCTCGCAAGTCATACACAGTACGACGGCTGCATCCCATTGCTCTTGCGACGTCAATAACTGATCTTCCCGCTTGCAACATGCCAACGGCACGTTCACGTTGCACATTTGACAATCGTGGCATTTCAAGTACCGTTAGAACTGTGGTTTAAAAAGTGTTTTTCAATTCTTGAGGCCAATGCAAACACGCATATGAAGAAAACTTCGATGCGAAGATCACGTGATCGACTGCACGTGCAAAACCTGATTTGGCACTAACGTCATTTGCACGACGAATGGATGGGTTTGAGTGGGTTTTGCTAACGTTTTTCTAGAGTCGAAAGATAGGATCCCATTTCGGATACATAGATGTATCATCAGAGAAAAAATTATTCATTATTTTCAAATTACATTTTGTGAAGTTTCTTTTTGACTCAGTATATATGCACACAATGAAGTGGACGTAGATGAAGATTGCTATTTTTTAGCACATGGCATATCTGTGGGTCATGATTAACTTGTGTAATAAGTTTGGTGAACCCAGCATGTATAGTTTCGATGATATGCCGTGGTCAGGTAACCATCAAACACATTTTGCATGTACCTAGCATGAACCTAGCATGTAAACTTTAAGAGATATGCTCCGGACAAAACCATCAAACACATTTGAAATAGCAAAAGGCACATCAATGGGTAATGATGAACATGTGTGTGAAGTTTGGTGAACCTAGCATGTAAACTTTAAGAGATATGCTCCGGACAAAGTTTCGGGACGGACGGACGGACGGACAGAATGAACGCTATATACCCCCGTTTCTTCGTAGCGGGGGTATAATTAAAATGAAATATAATATATACAAGAAGACAAAATGGTCTGAAGCTGCACGTCTTTAAGGTAAAGGAACTAGTTGATAGACATATTTACCTCAATTGGAGCATGTACACTCTGATATGGCAGATACATAAACAAAGGCTGGGAGACGTTGTGCTGGTTTATGACGTCAACAGCTTTCCGGGCGAACGTGTACTGAACAGAGAAACATAATGAATATACCACACAGCGTGTCGCTTAGCTCCTCCCCAAACAGCAATGACATGTAAAACTACACTTAGCATTACGTTGCATATATTTTGAGTCATGTTTGGGGTAGCAAAGTTATTAAAGCTTTCGTTCGTGACTCGATTCCCAACATCACTTAGTCAACTAGAGTCACATAGTCACTTCTTGTGACAAAATGGGTTGTTAAGAATCAGGATCTCACATAGTTAATTGTAGTGGTTGAGAAGTAACAATGATTTATACTGTGCAGACTGCATAATCACTGGTTGAACAGTCATATCGTTTACACTCAGTTGCACAAAATGTTGGAGCCAAGGTGTTGAAATAAATAACCAAAACATTGGACGTTGTGGAAGCTCTGCCTCAGTATGGATGTGCAGCCAGCATGCCTGCATTACATGGACAAAAACACTGTAATCCTTGATTTGAATAGGAACATGTTTTCCTATTTTATCTATGACTGTTACTCACAGCTGAATACTCTCCTGTGTAATTCCAAGCGGGTAGTTCGTTATCGCGGTAATCTAAAAAGGCACCTGCAAAGACATTAACGAACGCTGTTGCTCATAATATATGTCCATAAATCACATACACTTCTTCTTATACTTATTAGGCACATAAAGAAGCTGTGCAAACAAAAATTTAAAATCTAAATTTATCAAACCTGTGTAGACACATAAGGATTTAAACTCAGAGATTAGTGACATGTGTCCAACATGCATGCACGTGCCACGTTCCGTAACGTCAGTGGGTTCGTCCTTGAGACGTGCAATACGTTGTTGCACGTGCATTCCGGGAAAGAGAAACAGAGCAAATGAATGTCACACAATACTGTCACTTTGGAAAGTAGTAATATTTATCAAGAAATAAACTTTACACTTGTTGGATGTTTGCTGAAATTGTTGAACATATTGAACAGATTACACTTGTTGTCAATTCCTATGGCTTTCATATCTCAACATACACTTCTTACCACAATTGCGCTTTCGGTCTGTTTATCGAATCCATGCATCTTCTGAGAAGCGGTATGGTTTTGTGTTATCAAAATATGCAACATGTAAACAACAAGTGTAGAAGTGAGCACAGCTCACATACCCCCGCTTCCCACTTTGGGACATGTAAATGACTGATATTGATATATACTGAGTCAAAAAAGAAACTTCACATTCTTTCTTCAGGGCACCATAAAAAGAACAAGAGATGGTAAGATGGTTAAAATGTTATTATTTCATTGCTGAGATCTGTGTGATGTACTCGATACACTGACAGTGCCATAATCAGTTCAATTAGGCTACACCGCCGTTCCAAAACATGGGTATACAGAATGTCAAGTCACAAGAATAAAATGCGAAATTCCTCAGTTCAATATCGTGTATGGCCGACCCGCGCATTCACCACTGCCAAACACTTTCTCCTCATCGACTGCCTGATGCTTGTGAACACGTGGTTGGGGATTCTGCGCCATGGCTCTTGCAAGGCAGCGCCAAGTTCCTGTAAATTCTAAGGTTGGTTCCTAAGACCACGAAGCCTTCTCCCAAGTGCATCCCAAACGTGCTTATTGGATTAAGGTCAGGGGACCTCGATGGCCAGTCCATGACGTTGATTCCAGCGTTTTGAAGGACATTTCGTGTCAACATCGCGGTATGCGGCCGAGCATTATCATGCTGGAACTGTAGACCTGGGCCATGAGCCGCCATAAAAGGAACGAGTTCAGGGTGAGCACCTGGTCCCGGTAAGCAGCAGCTGTGAGGTTTCCACGGATGACCAGAAGTCGGGGAACGGTTGTTCCTACAGCACCACCACACCATGCAACTTCCGCCCCCGAATCTGTCGACTTCCTGTACACAACATTGGGTATACCGTTCACGACGTCGTCTCCAGACTCTATGCCTGCCGTCCGCGAATCTGAGGGTAAACCTGATTCATCGCTAAAGACGACTCGATTCAAGTCTCTCTGGGTCCATCGGAGGTGACGTTCGGCCCACAGCAGACGCTGACGTTGATGAAACGGTGTCAATATTGGCCCACGATATGGACGTGGAGAATTGAGATTGGCAGCCCGCAAACCGATTTCGAATGGTCTGTGAGGACAGTCGACCTCTAAACATCTCAGCCCTGGTTCGTGTAGCCGGCAGAAATCTGTCACGTAGGTGACGTAGGACGATTTGACTGTCTTCTGCTCGTGACGTCACACGTGGACGACCCGACCTTGGGCGATCAGAAGTGGTGCCAGTTTGTTGTAGACCACCTCGCAAGTCACGCACAGTACGACGGCTGCATCCCATTGCTCTTTGCGACGTCAATAACTGATCTTCCCGCTTGCAACATGCCAACGGCACGTTCACGTTGCTCATTTGACAATCGTGGCATTTCGAGTACCGTTAGAACTGTGGTTTAAAAAGTGCTTTTCAATTCTTGAGGCCAATGCAAACACGTGCATATGAAGAAAACTTCGATGCGAAGATCACGTGATCGACTGCACGTGCAAAACCTGATTTGGCACTAACGTCATTTGCACGACGACTGAATGGGTTTGAGTGGGTTTTGCTAACGTTTTCTAGAGTCGACAGACAGGGATCCCAATTCGGATACATAGATGTATCATCAGAGAAAAATTTATTCATTATTTTCAAATTACATTTTGTGAAGTTTCTTTTTGACTCAGTATATATATAATGTGAGAAGGATAAGCAGCTCACAAGACTTTCTCTTTGACTCTACTAAACTTAATATACATTTTAGATAATAGTTTTGGCATGTACTGATTACGGTAATAATTTATGGAGACTAGATTTATTTTGTGTTTTCCGTGGAAACCTGACATACAATTGAACTTGACTGTCTCATGTTGCACACAATGAAGTGGACGTAGATGAAGATTGCTATTTTATCACATACGGCATATCTGTGGGTCATGATTAACTTGTGTGATAAGTTTGGTGAACCTAGCATGTATAGTTTCGATGATATGCCGTGGTCAGGTAACCATCAAACACATTTTGCATGTACCTAGCATGAACCTAGCATGTAAACTTTAAGACATATGCTCCGGACAAAACCATCAAACACATTTGAAACAGCAAAAGGCACATCAATGGGTAATGATTAACATGTGTGTGAAGTTTGAAGCGAACCAGGCATGTAAACTTTAAGACTGACTGACTGAGTTTTAGTTTTACGCCGCTTTTAGCAATATTCCAGCAATATCACGGCGGGGACACCAGAAATGGGCTTAACGCATTGTGCCCATGTGGGGAATCGAACCTGGTCTTCGGCGTGACGAGCCAACGCTTTAACCACTAGGTTATCCCCTGCACCGCCCCGTAAACTTTAAGAGATATGCTCCGGACAAAGTTTCGGGACTGACGGACGGACGGACAGAATGAACGCTATATACCCCCGTTACTTCGTAGCGGGGGTATAATTAAAATGAAATATAATATATACAAGAAGACAAAATGGTCTGAAGCTGCACGTCTTTAAGGTAAAGGAACTAGTTGATAGACATATTTACCTCAATTGGAGCGTGTACACTCTGATATGGCAGATACATAAACAAAGGCTGGGAGACGTTGTGCTGATTTATGACGTCAACAGCTTCCGGGCGAACGTGTACTGAACAGAGAAACATAATGAATATACCACACAGCGTGTCGCTTAGCTCCTCCCCAAACAGCAATGACATGTAAAACTACACTTAGCATTACGTTGCATATATTTTGAGTCATGCTTTTGGGGTAGCAAAGTTATTAAAGCTTTCGTTCGTGACTCGATTCCGAACATCACTTAGTCAACTAGAGTCACATAGTCACTTCTTGTGACAAAATGGGTTGTTAAGAATCAGGATCTCACCATAGTTAATTGTAGTGGTTGAGAAGTAACAATGATTTATACTGTGCAGACTGCATAAACATGTGTATCACTGGTTGAACAGTCATATCGTTTACACTCAGTTGCACAAAATGTTGGAGCCAAGGTGTTGAAAATAAATAACCAAAAGATTGGACGTTGTGGAAGTTCTGGCCTCAGTATGGATGTGCAGCCAGCATGCCTGCATTACATGGACAAAACACTGTAATACTGATTTGAATAGGAACATGTTTTCCTATTTTATCTATGACTGTTACTCACAGCTGAATACTCTCCTGTGTAATTCCAAGCGGGTAGTTCGTTATCGCGGTAATCTAAAAAGGCACCTGCAAAGACATTAACGAACGCTGTTGCTCATAATATATGTCCATAAATCACATACACTTCTTCTTATACTTATTAGGCACATAAAGAAGCTGTGCAAACAAAAATTTAAAATCTAAATTTATCAAACCTGTGTAGACACATAAGGATTTAAACTCAGAGATTAGTGACATGTGTCCAACATGCATGCACGTGCCACGTTCCGTAACGTCAGTGGGTTCACCTGTCCTTGAGACGTGCAATACGTTGCTTGCACGTGCATTCCGGGAAAGAGAAACAGAGCAAATGAATGTCACACAATACTGTCACTTTGGAAAGCTCAACCCCTGCCCTTGCGATCGTTCAAAAATTAAACGGCTATTGAAACGCATAGCTTGCCAAGGCTCACGTCTGCACAACGTCACTGGATGGTCCGTGGGGAATGTCTCAACAAGTGGCTGCACATTTCCACTGCCACCGGAACACCATTTCTGCACCGGTGAGATGCTACCAGAACACAAATGACGTCATCGATCGGCCACGTTCTGGACGTCCACGTGTAAGCCAAGACAGGACAGATGGATAAGGGTGACCCATCTTCGCCACAGGTTTCAGACTGCAGTGATGACTGCCCGAACCATCCCAGGACTTCGCCGTATCCACCCCAACACAGTTCGACAACGTTTACGTCATCACGGGATCAAACCACGACGTCCCGCCATACGGCCTATCCTGACACAACGTCATCGACAAGCTCGCCGAATGTGGTGCTGCAATCATGTCCGCAGACCCTTGTTTTGGTGGAGAAATGTTGTTTTTACAGATGAGTCCAGGTTTAACATGTCCCATAGTGATGAACGTCAACGTGCCTATAGACGCGTGGGAGAACGTTATGCACAGGCCTGTGTCTTGGAGAGGAATCGCTTTGGTGGTGGTGGTTCCTTGATGATTTGGGGTGGAATAACAGCACGCCAAAGAACTCCTTTGGTGATTGTTGAGGGCAACTTAACTGGTGTGGGCTACAGGGTTTAGATTCTTCGACCTGTGGCAATTCCTTTTCTGCAACGTCATGGCCATGGGTTAACATTCCGGCAGGACAATACCCGCCCTCATACGGCAAGGGTTTATATGGATTTCTTGCAACACCACAACGTTGACTTACTGCCTTGGCTTGCAAATTCACCGGAGCATGTTTGGGGCGAGATGGATCGAAGTCTACGCCGTCTTCCTCATCCGCCAGATAACGTCCTTGGCGTGACATCCCACAAGCCTTCCTTGCACGTTTGATAGGCTCTATGCGTCGTCGATGCACTGCTGTTCTCAATGCCGATGGTGGGCATACCCGTTATTGAGCTTGTGACATGGTCGTTTGACCCTTGTCCCGCCTGTTGACTCGTTACGTCATTGTGATTGACTTTTCAATTGAAATTCTCCCTACTTGTTATGGTGTCATGATCCCTCCATTACAGTTCATATGTACCTTTGACATTGTTATCGTACTTATCAACTGGAATAATGTCTTGACAATGCACAGTTTCTTTGTGTGGCTAGTATATAATCATTGCAGCAAACGTGTAAAGACGTGAGTAAATTACCAGTATCAGTATTAGTAACAGGATAGTGAGGTTCATTTACTGTCTCACCTCAGTCATATTGCAGTTTTAACAGGTTATGAACCAATTTACACTCACACATGTTATAATATTAAGTATGTTTCAGATTTGCTGGTTTATAGAATTGTATATAATTCCTGGTAAGTGGAACATGTGCCAAAGCAAGCATTAATTACACGGTAATCTACGTAAATATTGAATGCATTATCTGTGCAAATGTATCTGCCATGCCTTTTTTTTAAAAGACACCATACTGCAGACAGACATAAATCAACCAGGAAAATATAAGCCCACCTGACCATTGTTTATGTCTCTGACTGTATCTGAATGGGCTCAATCATTTTAAAGTGATCTTGGTTTGCTCTGCTAATTAAAGAGTTTGTTGCGAGTATTTAAATCATGGTACGTGATATGTGCTTTCACATTGATACTTTATACTGTCTCTGATGAACTATGTGTCTACAATGCAAAACATTTCACAGAAACTGTTCAAACCTTGTGGTTACTTTGACTTTTTATGCAAGTTACTATGTACTTACCAACGCTATGATTGAAGTAGTCCTCCTCTGCACCGTAGTAGCCGAAGAACGAATCAAACCCTCTGTATGTTGGTGTACACTCCCATTTGCAAAACCCCAGGTGCCACCTTTAACACATCATCACAACGGTAGGAGGGTGTTGCGTTGGGTAGAACAATGAAACAACTTCCAATAAGGTGTCAAATCTGCGGACTTTTGAGTCATTCTGTCGTGACTTGAAGACCTATCTCTTCAACCAATAACTCTGTTTATTTTAGTTTAAACTTTTTGAAGCATCCACATATTGGAAATTAGGAGCTTTTCAAGTGCATTGAAAGAATGCGTTCATGCATGTTCTACTTTGCCTGTAAAGTATCCGTGACGCAATTCTTCTATTGACATGAATGTTTAGTTTCTCCGTCACACTGATTATTCTGGCAAGAAATATGGTTTTAAGACAACCTTCATTCCCACATATTTCCCAGCCAGACGGAAAATATCGCACTCTACAGAAGCTGTTGTAATCTTGCGCTTTTGCTGGACATACTTGCCGATCATGTGAGTAGCGTATCCAAGTTTCTTCAACTCTTGCGGCAGGAAGGTGTAGTTCAGAGGCACACATGCAGGCTGAACTCTGCTCAGAACTTTGTGCTAGGAAGTGAAATATTGACATATTACATGTACGTACATCACAACACGACAAGACGACACGTCCCATTATTGTAATTATGGCTTAGCTTAGACGTGAGTCACAAAACACTTTCGTTGCATCGTTAATGTTAGATATTAATGCACACCCTGATTCATTTATAAGAAAGAAGATACTTTCATTTTACTCACCTGCATGCCCACCTTGAATGGAAACATTCCACTCATGAAGGCCGTGCGGGAACTGTAAATCATCGAAGGAGTTTGAGGATGACGGGGCTATATCTAACATTGCTCATACTTACATCGCAGACATGCTCATATTAATTTCGTCTTGAAAAGCCTTCATTTATGACAGTTGTAATTTTCTAGATTCAAATTGATCATTCCACATAAACATTCTGACAAATGTATATCTTAAATTGACACAAATGTATTTGATGTTGTACAGGTGGAACTTGAAAGTCTCTCGACAAAGTGCTGAAATGTTATGCAGGACAGATTGAAAAGTTGGATGCGTTTATATTATATACGGGTTTAAGCAATATGAAAATCAACTGATATTTACGGGCTGCAATATGGCTGGACATAGGCGCTCTCAAAGATGATCCCTTCTGCAGCCAGTTTGTCAATGTTAGGAGTCTTCATGTTTGGGTTTCGGAAACCAACATCATTCCATCCTTATTGTAAATAAAGGTGAGATGATATAAGTTGGATATGAATGCATCATTGAACCCTTTGGTAAAACAAATTAAATTTTCTTGCATAAAAATTGCGTTTATCGCACTTAAAATACCAGACTTAGAACCACATAAACATAAACTGGACATCATCTACCATGTGAATCCAAAACTGTGTGCCAAATACCTCTTCATTCGATTCTCATGCCAAAACACTTTGCGTGCGCAATGATTAAGTATTCGTTTACTGCTTGAATATATTTACAGGAGAAACTATACATTCTTGTTATTTTATGGATACATTAATGACGATACTCTGTCATCGTGTTGAGTTCGATATATTTACGACATAGTCAAACATGCGAAATATTTCGAATCTAAACATGTGTTAAGTTACTGAAACGGATATATAACAATCTCAAGAATAACCGATTTTTGTTACATACCTGCTGATTCATAAAAGCATGTTGTCTAGACCTAGAAAAATGCCCTGAATAATAACTGATAACGTGAAATCAAACTTAAGTTAAGACGAATAGACCTTGTATCTTGTGAACACAATATACTCACCTAAATCATCTGCAACTATGAAAACAATGTTGGGACGTTGCGTTGCCTCACAGGACACAAGAATCGAGAGGAACACAAGGATGTACTTCTCCGTCATTTCACTGTCCATATAAAAGTGATTACACAGCAGAGGTGTTTGCCATATTTATCAATGGCACTCATTCGCTTATCAGCTAGATTAGTATAGAAGTATGCGGTATGCGGCATGTGGTATGTGGACATTATGGTGAGGTTGTAGCGACTCATGAGCACAAAAAAGGATATTTAAATTACAATTGGCGCATACAGACATGACAATACTTCATGACTGATTACAGAAATATTTTATCACATATTTGTCTTGGCCCACTTGCACAAATTCCACGTCTGTAATCTTTCACGAGGTCGTTTCAATGTAGAGGTTATGATATCACGCCACATATTTTCAAAATACTTTTGTACGTCGCCTATTGTAAACCTGTTTGTAATATGCATATGCTATCAATGTGTTTCATTATTCAAGGGGACGTGGATTATCTTGCCTACTATTTATAATCAGAATAAGACGAATGACAAAAAGCAGTTTTTGCATCGAATTGATACCAAATTGGATATATTTTAACAGGCATGCCAGTTTCATTTTCTCTTGTATACACACAGGCTCAACTGAATCATTGTTTCAAGTTGCAACAGAAATTTGATGACGAGTGTTTGAGTGATATTGAAATCAGTTTAAGGTTAACACTATCCGAACTTTTAGCTATTCCCAAAGTAATTGAGGTTTCATTCAAGACCAGGAAGAGGCATCCTTTGGGTTGTTAGTTCGTCAAGAATGTCCGCGATCTTTGCTTCTGCCTGTAAACGGTGAAAGTGTTGAAGTAGGTACCTTCGAATGGTATATACTGACTGGGCGATTCAGAGGTGTATTTCCAGGTAATACATATCAATGTATAGTAACGGTTAAAGTCATACAATTCTTACAACTAGCTTCTCCGTCACCAGTCTTCTTCACGTGTTGTAGGTTAGATTTGATATACCAAATGGAACCATATCAATCAAGTATACTACACGGATACACAGGACTACCTCATACTGTATGTGTTTGTGGTGGAGTCCGTCTGTAACCTGTTCGTAGGCCTGTGTTAGCTACCAGCTTCTCCCGGTTGGCCTATTCGCTTTTGCCCTGTGAACAAAGAACATAACCAGGATTAACCTCCTATGAATCTGAATTTGGCCCGATCGCTAGCCACTATCCATACACAGCTTGGATCTGTTAATCTTACATGAACGTAAAATGTTTATTATTTAAACAACGAATATAAGTACCATAAAAGTGCGCAGATGCAAACTTATACGTTCTCAAGAAAGTAAGGCTTTATTCTGTATTCAGCTTCAAGTATATTGATGATTTCAAATCGTGTAATAATTGCTATTTTCCTTCGAAACGATTCACATGAAATGACTGATGGAAAGGAGTTTGTCATTTCTAATTAATTCAATACAACTAAATCTCAGGAACAATAGCTTATAGGGGGACATTGAACGATTGTTGATGCTAAGATCTTAACGTCAGTAGCCGTGCTACGTATTTTGGGCAGAGAAACAGCGATATTGTATGAAGTACCCAGGTGTTAGGACAAAATGTCATTCTCAAGTTAACTAAGACACCTACACGTCAGGTGTTTTATTAGTGTGTCTACCCACAAGGTTGGACAGGGTTAATGTAATAGTCTAATAACTAGATGTTAGGAATGTTTTGCCTGTGTTACTGTTGGAACATTGTGGCCTTGATTTGAGCGAGTGAGTGAGTGGGTTTAGTTTTACGCCGATTTTAGCAATATTCCAGCAATATTACGGCGGAGGCACCAGAAATAGGCTTCACAAACTTTACCAAAGTGTGGAATCGATCCTGGGCCTTCATGTGACGAGCGAACATTTTACCAACTAGGGCTACCCCACCGCCCGGACCCTAGCTTTGAGCAGTTAAATGTAGTTCATACTTGTGGAAAGTGAGGCTGGAAGGAGAGAAAATGTGTCAGGTTTTTTATATGGTGGATGTGATTTCTTCTAAAGTTCCTTGCTTATTGATAAATACACCATGTAAATACTCTAATTACAGTCATATTATCGTCATTCAATTACACAATATGCTCTTGTTCGCCACACAAAGAGATATCACACTAACTGTCGCGATTTTCTTCCACTACGGTACTCACAGAAGACAAGGTTAAATGGTCCATGAAATCAGGTCCCTCTGACGCAGAGGCACTTGTTAAAATGAGTCTCTCGGACACGACCAAGGCTTAAGGGAAAGAGGATAGCAAAACGCTGATACCAGAGGAATGTACTTTTTTACATTCGTTGACGTTGGTTTTATGATAAGGTTTGCTACTGGTACTATTGTTTCTGCACAAGTGGATTGTAGCAAAAGCATGATTTTGAAAAAGGGATATAATTTGCATGAGAGAATGAGTATGGTTTAAGGCCGCGTGGAATTTAGCATTGGTTTATATTGTGCCTAGTGATTTTACCAGTTTGGTGAAATACAAAAGCAGGAGCGTAACTTTCTGGCATACCTAAGAAACCGCTTTGCCGGACCCGTGAAGATGCGGGTTAGAATTGATCTTCAGCAACCCATCCTTGTGGTAAAAGGCGACTAACGGGATCGGGTGGTCAGGCTCGCTGGCTTGGTTGAGACATGTCATCGTATCCCAGTTGCGTAGATCGATGCTCATGCTAATGATCACTGGATTGTCTGGTCCAGACTCGATTTTTTACAGACCGCAGCCACGAAAACTGGAATATTGTTCAGTACAGCGTTGAACAACAAACCAATCATCCCAAATACCTCTTCTACAATTTGGCACCAGTGAAGAGCTACCCCCTGGTGGTGGGTGCTGGGTAACGCTAAGCGCTCTTCAATCCCCCGTTGTGGACCCGGAGGTATATTTGGTCCACCAATCCGTTTGCCGTGGGTTGTGCCCCTGTGTCGGTGGTGGAAGGGAGTCTAGTGGTTGAGGGCACTGGTTCCAGGAACAGAGTTCCTTTGCCCAACACACCACTTCGCCCCTGACTTCACCTAGACGGGCGGTAGAACTGACCCGGCTCTATCAATCGGCTGGTCACGCCAAGCCCTGTGCATGGTGATTATATTTGCACAATAAATTATCATTTGGGTCTTGGAAATTTAGATTTCAATGTTTAAATTATTGATAACTTTCCTATGCCAGAAGGCGGTGGCTCATGGGCAAATCTGGTGATATTGACTTCCAAATTCAATATGTGTCCACTTTCTTGTCATGTGCAAGAACCAGCCTGATATTTAATTGGTATACAAATATTGCTATGGGTGTCATACTCGCTGGAGTATAACATCCCTGTATCCCTGGTGTCAGCATCTTGGAGATCCGGTGCTAATTGACATCGTCCTTGTTGACACTCCATGGTGGGTGGGGAGCAGGGATGATGAATTATTTTCCTTTCATTATGGCGTCATGCCCTATATATCAAAGGGAATCGAAAATTATGAAAATCAAATGTGAAAAGAATATTCCTTATCTTGAAGCCAAGAAACCTTTCACAAGTCAGTCTTCAACTCAATTAAATATCTCATATTCCGCCGCAGTCACCCGCTCTGCAGAAATGACCTCTATTGCATGTCAGACTGACTTGACTTGGGTCAAGTCAGCTCAACCTTTTTCATCAACGTCAGCCATGACACCAACTACCCCAGTCACTCAGTCTACGTCTGGTTCCCAGACAGAGGAAATTGATTCCGTGATCCCATCTCAGAAGTCTATGTCAAAACCAGCCAGCGACCAACTTCAAAGAAAGAAAGGAAAACAACTAACAAAAGACATACCACCTTCTGTCCCTTTACCTTTAGTGGTTCCAACTCAGAATGCATTTGGACCTCTAGATATGGAGGTTATCCGTCCTCACCGGACAGATAGAGGTACAGTTCCTCACACACCCATCAACGATCGCCAATTGAGCCACCATGACTAAATGCCGACTTTAATGCAATGGGAATGCAGAGGACTAAGTAATAACTTTAATGAGATACAATTATTAATACATGATTTTAAACCATCAGCATTATGTCTACAGAAGACATATCTAAAATATACAGATAACTTTAATCTACGACAGTACAGTGATTATCACACTTTTCTCCTATAGGAGATAAAGCAACAGGAGGTGCATCCATTTTGGTACGACAGGGTATAATACATAGCCCTGTCCCTCTTAATTCCAATCTCCAAACAGTAGCTGTTCGTATTACACTGCACATGGCACTCACGTTGTGTAGCTTGTATATACCCCCGTCTTCTGATATTCGACTGTCGGATCTAAAGAATCTATATGATCAGCTTCCGAAGCCATGTCTCATCATGGGCGATCTGAACGGTCACAACCCGCATTGGGGAAGTGACCATACTAAAACTAAAGGTAAAATCCTTGAGGAATTTATTTCCGATAATCACCTATGTATATATAACGATGATTCTCCCACTTATCTACATCCAGCTACGGGAACATATTCTTCCCTGGATCTGTCAATTGCCGACTCCAGTTTGTATACTGAGTCAAAAGAAACTTCACAAAATGTAATTTGAAAATAATGAATAATTTTTCTCTGATGATACATCTATGTATCCGAAATGGGATCCCTATCTTTCGACTCTAGAAAAACGTTAGCAAAACCCACTCAAACCCATCCATTCGTCGTGCAAATGATGTTAGTGCCAAATCACGTTTTGACGTGCAGTCGATCACGTGATCTTCGCATCGAAGTTTTCTACACGAATCAGGGCTGAGATGTTAAGAGGTCGACTGTCCTCACAGACCAATCGAAATCGGTTGCGGGCTGCCAGTCTCCATTCTCGACGTCCAAATCGTGGGCCAATATTGACACCGTTTCATCAACGTCAACGTCTGCTGTGGGCCGAACGTCACCTCCGATGGACCCAGAGAGACTGGAATCGAGTCGTCTTTAGCGATGAATCCAGGTTTACCCTCGGATTCGCGGACGGCAGGCATAGAGTCTGGAGACGACGTCGTGAACGATATGCCCAATGTTGTGTACAGGAAGTCGACAGATTCGGGGACGGAAGTTGCATGGTGGGGGCTTTCTTTCTGTGGGGAACAACCGTTCCCGACTTCTCTGTAGTCATCCGTGGAAACCTCACAGCTGCTGCTTACCGCGACCAGGTGCTCACCCCTGAACTCGTTCCTTTCATGGCGGCTCATGGCCCAGGTCTACAGTTCCAGCATGATAATGCTCGGCCGCATACCGCGATGTTGACACGACATTTCCTTCAGAACGCTGGAATCAACGTCATGGAATGGCCATCGAGGTCCACGGACCTTAATCCAATAGAGCACGTTTGGGATGGACTTGGGAGAAGGCTTCGTGGTCTTAGGAACCAACCTCAGAATTTGACGGAACTTGGCGCTGCCTTGCAAGAGCAATGGCGCAGAATCCCCAACCACGTGTTCACAAGCATCAGGCAGTCGATGAGGAGACGGTGTTTGGCAGTGGTGAATGCGCGGGTCGGCCATACACGATATTGAACTTAGGCATTTCGCATTTTAATTCTTGTGACTTGACATTCTGTATACCCATGTTTTGGAACGGCGGTGTATCCTAATGGAACTGATTATGGCCCTGTCAGTGTATCGAGTACATCACACAGATCTCAGCAATGGTATAATAACAATTTAACCATCTTTACCATCTCTTGTTCTTTTAAAGTGCCCTGAAGAAAGAGTGTGAAGTTTCTTTTGACTCAGTATATAATGAATTTGAATGGGTGGTCCATAATGACCTATGGGGGAGTGATCACTTCACCACCATTCTCAAAACAAGCAACCCTGGTGATGATCCACCTTTATCGAGAAGGAACTTTGCCAGGGCTGACTCGTCATTATATGAGACTCTGTGTGCTCATCACTTAACTCATGATCGTTTTAGGAACAGTGAAGATCCTATTCAGTCGTTTTCTGATATCCTTAATGGCATTGCTGACAGAACAATTCCTCAGTCCTCTGCAGTTCCACATTCGTAAACCATGGTTCAATAACGAATGTAAACAGGCCAGAAAGTGTAGGAAGAAAGCAGAAAATATTTTTGCCGACATCCTACTGTCCATAATGTAGATAAAGTTAAAATGTTAAATGCCAAAGTGCGACGCAGTTTTAAACAGAATAAGTGTCAGTCTTGGCGAAACTATGTTTCCAAAATATATTCGCGCACACAGATTTCAAAGGTGTGGAACATGATACAAAGAATAAAGGGCAAAGGTTCCAAATCTACCGTTCACCATTTAAAGGATGGTGATAATTTGTTAACTGATACGGCTGACATTGCCAATAAGCTTGGGGAAACTCTCGCCAAACATTCGTCTTCATCCAAGTATGTCCCTGAGTTTCAGAAACAACAGGAGAAGAAAAGAATAAATTTTACCTCAGACAATGGAGAAGACTACAATGAATTATTTTCAATGCATGAGTTACGTACTGCGCCTTTGAACAAGCTCATGATACAGCAAATAGGGGCTGATAATATACACTATCAGCTCTTTGAAACATTTACCTGAATCATGTTTGGAAACACTTCTAAATATTTTGATGCAATATGGACTTCAGGGAATTTCCAACATCGTGGCGTAAAGCCATAGAAATCCCTATACCTAAGCCTGGCCGGGATCATACTGATCCGTCTAATTACAGACCAAAATCTTTAACGACTTGCGTCTGTAAAACCATGGAACGAATAGTAAATAATAGATTAACATGGTATCTTGAAACCAATAATCTCATAACAAATATTCATTGTGGTTTCAGGAAAAATCGTAGTACCATTGATCATTTGGTACGTTTAGAATCCTTTATCAAAAAATGCTATAATACATAAACTACAGGCTGTATCGATATTCTTTGATCTCGAGAAAGCGTACGATACCAACTGGAAAACATGGCATTTTAAGGGATTTTGCATGATTTTGGTTTAGGGGTCGTTTACCTCTTTTTATATCACAGTTTTAACAGACAGGCAATTTCAAGTCTGAGTGAGTTCAACCCTGTCTGACCATTATAATCAGGATCAGGGTGTCCCCAAAGGAAGTATTTTGTCTGTCACTTTATTTAGCATTAAGATAGACAGCTTATCCAAGGTTTTAAATGATTCAATCGATGGATCACTTTTTGTGGGATGATTTTAACATTTCTTGTCGCGGTAAGAATATGCATACCTATTGAACGGCAACTACAGTTGTGTTTAAATAAAATAAATAAATGGTGTCTTGAAAACGGCTTTAAATTTTCTAAACCAAAAACTAATTGCATACATTTCTGCCGTTAAATATAAACCACATAAAGACCCAGAACTGTTTTTAAATGGCACTCCAATCAAGGTTGTAAATGAGGCCAAGGATTCTTAGGTCTGATTTTTGACCTTGTAACCTTTCTTCCGCATATCAAATCTCTAAAAACTAAAGGCCTGAAGGCACTTTGATTTATTGAAAGTCGTTTCTAATTCAAAGTGGGAGGGACCAAACTACCCTCCTAAACCTGTATAGATCATTGGTCCGCTCAAAGCTTGATTATGGCTCCATCGTGTATGGTGGAGCCTGCAAAAGGAACTTAAAACTATTAGATTCTGTCCACCACCAAGGTCTGAGACTTCGTCTTGGATCATTCAGAATATCTTGTGTTGACAGTCTCTACGTCGAGGCCGATGAGCCTTCTGCACAACGCCGTTTAATATTATCATAGCAATATATTACCAAACTATATTCTAACGAGTCTAATCCTGCATTTCACTGTATCTTTAAACCTCTTTATGAGGATTTGTACAACAAGAAATCTTTTCTTGTTCCGCCTCTTGGCTCTCAGGATTAAGCCATTCATTACTGCTGCCGGCATTGAGCTGGAAAATATATCTCCTTCCCGTCTTCTTTCTTCTCCTCCTTGGCAATTGGTGAGGCCACAAGTCGACCTAACACTCACTACATTTAAAAAATCAGAAACTAACGAATTACAATATAAACAAGAATATAATCAATTAAAAAGTAAATATAATACATATAAATCCTTATTTACAGATGGGTCCAAGGTTAGTGGCGCGGTAGTTTGTGCCACTGTCATTGGGTCCAAAACAATATCTTCCAGATTACCCAACGACAGTTCAATTTTCACAGCAGAAGCAAACGCAAGACTAACAGCTCTTAAATATATTAATAAACACCGTAAATATAAACAACACATAATTTTTCCGATTCTCTTCGTGTCTTCAGGCTATTAAAAATCTTTCTTTGCAAACAAGAAATAGAATTGCTAGATAAATTGTGATGAATAGTTTGTAAATAGATATGTATTTTATTATTGGTAGTTTAGATGAGTAACTTAGATCGTTAGTGGCTGTACCCCTCAAAGGGGTTAAAGTACTGTAAAATCATTGTCCCTCCTGAGAGGGTACGTAAGTCCCAGAACTTTCAAAGTAATATGTAAATTTACCACATTTTAATCGTAGTATTTGTGTTCTTTTTAACTTCCGGCTAATTTTTCCTACAATCGCCAGCGGCTGAAGGGATGTTGTAAATCCAGCTAGGGTCCATGCAGGTAGCAAAGGTACTGTTAGTCCCCATGGTCCCTAGTATGGTGATCTACCTTCAGTCGTTGACGATCTCTAGCCTGTTTTTATATTGTATTGTCCCAATAGTGCTATTAGTTTTAAACTTTCCACGGTGGTTTTAATTTAATTGTGATATTCTAGTTGTTTTACTGTCCTTCGTCGACAGGTTTTATAATAAACATGCATTCCACTTCAAAATCAAATATGTTCTCGTCACGATATGGCTGCAATATTGCCGATGTGACGTTAAATAATAACTCACTCACTCACCACTCTTCTACAATTTTGTCTCCTCATAAAGGCAACGAACAAGAAAACTATGATGAAGAGAAACAGTAACTACAGACAAAGAGTTACTAGTGTGTTTACAGATCTATTCAATACAATAATTATTTTATGTTCATTGACATTTTGCCTTTAACATCTTATGGAACTTGTTCGGCACTGTTTAGTCTCTGACGTTGAGCTCTTTGAACTGCTCGTTTGTTGTGCAAATAATTAGCCTGTAATGTAACGCAGATTGCCAGCGCTTTTACAACAGAGAGCGAATATGTGGCAATACGTATGCATAGATAACATTGTATACCCGTCAAACCTTGACGACAAACGGGTAAACATACTGTTGGTATATATGCACACTTTCTGTCCGGTGTTGTACTGTCAGGAGGTACAAATTATCTGTTTGTGGAACACAAGGTGAGATTGATTTTCTTTCATTAATTTTAACTATTCAGCCCAATGGTCAGATGACCGTGCCTCGATCATCTGGATGCCGTTCCACAAATCAGTCGTAGCCCTATGGCCGCCGTTAGTTGATGGACGAGGGTGGAGTTAACATTCTCTTTACAATGCGATCACGTTGAGGAATGGACGCCTGGACGCTTCAAGATAGCATTTGTTTTATTGGTTCTCCTAGTGGTTAAAGCATCAAAGACCCGGGTTCGCTTCATTTACACAGGGGTACAAACGTATGAAGCCCGTTTATGGTGGCCTCCGTCGTAATATTGCTAGAAAAAGGTATACTCATTCTCATTCTCTCATTCCCCGCTGTGATATTGCTGGAAAAACTAAACTCATCTTCATTCTTCGCCGTGATATTGCTGGGACAACTAAAGTCATTACTTACTCGCTCTCCATCATTCCCGTTAGTTCAAGAGCAAATGTTGCCCTCGGATGGTAGCTCATTCCTACAATGGAAGACGAAATAAATCCGAAGGTTTTTGTGACACAGTCAGGGTGTATTGTTACAGGATAAAATTAGTCCATATTGTACACGTAATGGTTATGAGATATCTACTATCGTCTTATCATTTCAGTTTTGACTGATACCGATTAATTGAATTTCTTTTTCTGCTCTGTTCAGTTGCTGAGTAGCTGCCCACCTGTCAGAAATTTAGTAAATATACCTTTTCTATGCATCTCTTTGCATTTGGCTTCAAAAGATCTGATAGCGATAATATCTCCAATTTTGTTTTATCTGTCATACCATGCCTATCTGGTTTTGTCTGTTTGTGTGTTGTTAAAACGCCGCAGCATGGGTAACACAACCATGGCTGACTGAAGACCAACTGTAACCCAGATCTTCACGGGTGATCAGCCTTTGTACATAGATGCATCACACCACGTGATACTAGGCCAGTGACTAACGTACATGCGACGTCAGGAGACGATATACTGGACATTCATAGATTACGCTGGGGATTATGGCTCCTACCCAGCTGCAGTGCATGCTATGAATATATTAAACAGATAAAAGAGAAAGAATGTCGAATTTCACTTTGGAAACAGAGAAACACCCACTGAAATAAGAGGTTTCCATAATAACAACGACCAAAGCAACGCATGTCCGGGTCGGTGTTGGATTGTGGTATCCATGTGTAACTGTGGTACGACAGTAGCTGAGTCTAAGTATTTAAAAGTCAACATTACGACAGTTGTACGAACCGAAACGTTAGTCTCATTAACCAATTCAGACAATGGCCTACTTTTCAACAGATCCGAAATTTCTCGTGTGAAAGTGAAAGAGACACTACAAACAACCATGGTTACACTAAATTCCAATTCCGTGTTCATACGAAGATAGAATTTACAAATTGATTTTAATTTCAAAACTTAAAAATGATATTTTATATGTTTCATGTCGAGGTTTAAGCAGCTTGTCGTTAACTAAGACGCCACAGACTGTCTGTTTGATGAGGTCGTACAATGATTCACGATTCATCTGGCTGACTGTCAGGTTACACCTGTTTTGTGTTCTTTGCGCTTATTATGCAATATGTTTGTAATGTACAGTGTGATTTATATAATATCAAGTCCGTACCAGACCGAGCCTCGTTTTGAGATTTCCATGATTTCCCGATTTCCGTTTGTCAGATCACGCTGCACAACGTGTTTGCAAGGATTAGAAAGAGGGTCGTGTTGCAATATACAAGTGATTAGATGTATGAAATAATTCTGAGTAATACTTATATATCCAGTTGAATGAGTTGGTCCCAAAATTCTGAACTGGTTATTGTACTAAGTTGTGCAATAGGACGAAACCAGTCAGCAGGAAACGAGACTGTTGAGTAAACAATGTTTTGACTTGCGCTGCGGTGGGCAGAGGGTGAGGGCGGGTGTCTTCAGGAGTGTGTTAGCACGAGTACCCTGTATGTTGCATGTAACCCTATGCCCATGTCGCTATGCAACCAACAACACAACCTGAGCATTCTTGCGTGCTTATCGATACTTCCTGGTACAGTTATCGGGGTACATCAGATTTACAACCGATATCCCTTCAGCCAGCTTGAGTAAATCAGTCACTTCTTCCTGGTAAATGCGAGGCTATAGATTATATCATGTCAAACAAAGCCGTTGAGTGAATTCGTGTAAACAGTACTGGTTCCGACCTCCTCCTTGGCCTAGTGGGTGGCGTCTGCTAGGAGAGCTGAAGGTCGGGGTTCGATCCCCGGTCAAGTCTAACGAACAAACTTTAAAAGAAGGTATTTGTTGTTACAAGAGCTCTTGGCGTGAATACTGTCTAAGTGGGGTATCCATGGCAAACAGGGGTATGGTATCTCAGTTAACTTGTAGTTTTAAACCTGCATGCACTCAAGCACGCAAGCACACAATTCATTCAATGTCATTAGTCCACCCGTTACAAGTGTCATTCACTGCGATTCATCAAGTGAAACATATGTTGGGGACATACTGCTTGGGCGTCACTATTTGTGATTTTTCGTCCAGATATTTCAGTAACGCTATGATTAAGCTGAATTTTGTTAAAATAACTTGAAATATGTGTCATGAATTGTAGACAACCTTTCGTTTACTTTCAAGCTGAAACGTTTGAGGTTTGAGCAAGGAAAGGTAATCTCGCCCACGGGTCGCATGGAACGTAGTGTAATTTTCGAGTTTCATTTAATCACATTGTGACGTGTTAAGTGAAATAATCGCGAATGCCACCTTAAATACGTTCCAACTCGTCAGTAAAGACGTCATTTGTTGTGTTACGTCTATTTTGAATTCGTTGCAATAAACAATTGTCAACGTCTGCAGTCAACGTCAGCATGCACTATGCGTAAAAAATATTATTAAAGTTATTAAAGTTGAACACAGAATGTTCACATCAATGTTCCCACAATTTATCTAAAACAGTATAATTATGATGCCGCGTTTTGATGCTTATTAGCCAACTGGAAGCGACAGATATGCAGTGTTGATCCATCTCATAGGTATCAACAATTCAAAAGGACAGAAAGTTTAAAGCTAAAGTGCCATATTCCGATATCCTGTGTAATTATCTTAAAACACTGAGTGAGTATGGTATTATCTCACTTTGGGCAATATTTCAGCTACATTTAGGGGACACAAGAAAGGGCCTTCACACAATACATCCACCTGGGCCTGTGTAACCTTATCAGAATAAAGAAAAACCCATAAATGATAACCATTAAATACTACCGAAGATGACAATCTCATTAGAACCAGGTTACGTGAAACTAGAATCGAAGAGTGAGTGGGTATGGTTTTGCGCCGCTTTTAGCAATATTCCAGCAATATCACGTCGGGGAAATGGGCTTCACAAATTGTACCCATGTGGGGAATCGAACCCGGGTCTATGGCGTGATGAGCGAACGCTTTAACCAGTAGGCTATCCCACCGCCCCTATAATCAAGGAATTAAAGTTACACAAGACATATTTTAAAGCAGTTTTTAAAATGTTTTTAACATTACTACGTAAGAAACGTTAGAGTTATTGTCATCATCCAGTTCAGAGGCTCTGAGGTGCGAAGTAATGAAGATACCACACACGTTCTAGTGACAGTGACACATCCCCTCTTCTCAAGTGCTGGCTAAACTTTTTAATGACAGCTATTTTGATAAGCTCATACAATGAATGAAAATCCTGAGAGCCAGAGAAAGTAGTTGTACAATATCAATCGGCTGCTTTTTACTTGTTTTGACAGCTGGATCAAGAATGATTCATCTAAACTGACCCCATATCCGAGAAAAGGAAACCTGTCCTCAGGTCAAACAAAAACAGTTAAGGACTAGTGACAAACGCAACTTACCAAACAATCTCTGACCCTGTGAGTGAGTGAGTGAGTGAGTTTAGTTTTACGCCGCACTCAGCAATATTCCAGCTATATGGCGGCGGTCTGAAAATAATCGAGTCTGGACCAGACAATCCAGTGATCAACAGCATGAGTATCGATCTGCGCTATTGGGAACTGATGACATGTGTCAACCAAGTCGGCGAGCCTGACCACCCGATTCCGTTAGTCCCTGAACCCGTCAGATGAAGTGGTAGATAATATGTGGCCATCGGGGCAGTTATAGTCCTGAAGCCGTAAAGCTCTCTGGTGGCTCAATATGATACATTTTACTTCCATAAGTGGCATTTAGAAGCTGGTATGATGAAGAGGAACACTTTTATGGATATACAACTTCTTTGTTGCAGTAGATGCGACGTTTCGGTGTAGATCCCGCTTGATAAAGGTGTTAGGATCTACACAGACACGTCGCATCTACTACAACAAAGAAGTTGTCTATCCATAAAAGTGTTCCTCTTCATTATCCATTTTAGCATTACTATCGTGCCCACTGAACAGAAAGAGGTGCTGGGGCTATATCGGTGTTAATACCGATACTGAGTCTACTGACCGAATTTAGTATCCAGAGACACGCAATGGATACCAACCCCTTAACGTCCGCAATCGCGTTACTCTTGCTTGGGACAAAAACATTGATCACGGTTTCTGTTCACTTTTTTGAAGATCTCCTAAGCTATGAGACCTGGGGATTTATCGTCATATTGACAGTCCCTCTATCTCACCACTGCTTGGAAACGGTGGTCGCTTCCAGGTCAAATCTGATACGATGAAATTCCTGCCTTCATATACCTTCATCCTGGTTGAAAAACAAGTGGCATACTATAGTGTTCGTGAACACCTATTGCAGAAGTTGCAAGATAACTATGTTACATCGGTGCTGACAACTACTTGCATACATGCCTGTAATATAGTTTAGTTTAGCCCCATTATATGTCAATCCACTTTGACTTCGGTGTCGGACGAGCAGCCAAGAATTATGCACAATTTACATCCATCACCAACACAGCAGAGCAATGTAGTCTCATTTAGATCACACAACACTGATTTACATTCAGTTGCAAGATCTATGTTAGGAATTCCAAGAATTCTTCCGCATAATTTGACTATGAAACAGCAGTCATCAGAAATTCGTCTGGGAATGGGTTGACTGTTACATTATTCCTGTACTCGCAGAGTTTGTCTGGGAATGGGTACACTGTTATATGTTTTCCTGTACTCGCAGAGATTCGTCTGGGAATGGGTAGATTGTTATATGTATTCCTGTACTCGCAGAGATTCGTCTGGGAATGGGTAGACTGTTATATGTATATCTGTACTCGCAGAGATTCGTCTGGGAATGGGTACACTGTTATATGTATTCCTGTACTCGCAGAGATTCGTCTGGGAATGGGTGGACTGTTATATGTATATCTGTACTCGCAGGGTTTCGTCTGGGAATGGGTGGACTGTTATATGTATATCTGTACTCGCAGAGTTTCGTCTGGGAATGGGTAGACTGTTATATGTATACCTGTACTCGCAGAGTTTCGTCTAGACTGTTATATGTATTCCTGTACTCGCAGAGATTCGTCTGGGAATGGGTAGATTGTTATATGTATATCTGTACTCGCAGAGATTCGTCTGGGAATGGGTTGACTGTTATATGTATATCTGTACTCGCAGAGATTCGTCTGGGAATGGGTAGACTGTTATATGTATACCTGTACTCGCAGAGTTTCGTCTGGGAATGGGTAGACTGTTATATGTATTTCTGTACTCGCAGAGATTCGTCTGGGAATGGGTTGACTGTTATATGTATATCTGTACTCGCAGAGTTTCGTCTGGGAATGGCTAGACTGTTATATGTATATCTGTACTCGCAGAGATTCGTCTGGGAATGGGTTAACTGTTATATGTATTCCTGTACTCGCAGAGATTCGTCTGGGAATGGGTAGACTGTTATATGTATATCTGTACTCGCAGAGATTCGTCTGGGAATGGGTACACTGTTATATGTATTCCTGTACTCGCAGAGATTCGTCTGGGAATGGGAAGACTGTTATATGTATATCTGTACTCGCAGAGTTTCGTCTGGGAATGGGTGGACTGTTATATGTATTCCTGTACTCGTAGAGATTCGTCTGGGAATGGGTAGACTGTTATATGTATTTCTGTACTCGCAGCAGTATCTTCGTCTCAGTCGAATAGTTCGTGTACTCAAAGTCCTTCATCTGAATCAGATACACAAACCTAACATCTGACCTGCTGCAGTCATGTTGTTTAGTGCTTTGAATGACAGAAATCCTTCGTTTAGGGAACGTTTTGATAATGTATGGGCATTTCTTATCACACAGGTATTCATAAATCATTATGCATAAATTTGCAAACGTGCAGTTTAGCTTTCGTTATAACTGTACATTGTTAAAGTATTTGCTCTGTCGAATCATATCACTTCGTCCACGAGTCACTAAAATATAGACGTACTAGTAGTTGTTGTATTGCAAGTTACAAAGTATTCTCTTTGTACATCCATTTAAAGGAACCCAACGTTCAGTGAGCTGCGATGTCTACAGTACCTCCTCCTCAGTCTAAAGGCGGCATGGCAGACAACATCCCTCCTCCTCCAGCATACAGCTGGTCTGGTAGGTACACAACACCAACTCAATCTGAAAGGAGCATTGCTGACCAGCGATGTAGTGGCCTGGTAGGTATAAAGCACACTCTCAATACAGAGGAACATGGCTGAATATCAAACTACAGGCCTGGTATGTATCTAAGCCAGCATTGGTTGACTGCATACTGCATGCCTGGTAGGAATACAGCGCCATCTCATTCTGATCAAGGCAGATCAACGTAGTACAGGCCTGTATAGTGATCCTATCTCAATCAAGGCAGCATTGGCCGAGCATCATCGAACTATAGGCCAGGTAGGTACACAGTACCCTTTCAACCTGAAGGCAGCATGGCCGAAGAGCATACTACAAGATGTATGGGTACACAGAACCCGCTCAACCTCATGTTAGCGTGGCAATGAGACTATTAACACATTCAAGAGGTATGGGCAGTTAAATAATAACCTTACAGCCCGAATCTATTTAAAAGACTGAAAAGAATTTAAAGAAGTATTCCGCTGACATAATCATAAATGTTGTGCAGTTATTTTGAATGTACATGTACAAAAGGTATCTAAATATGAACACGTTATCATACAAGGAGGGACTTCACAACCGATGCCCCAACAGCAGCAGCACCTTAACGTGACCACTGTCAACATGGGTCCTCAAGGTGCCCTTGTCATGTTCCCACGGGTACCAATAAGCATCACGTGCCAGTTTTGCCAGGCATCCATTGTGACCTCAGTGGAAATGGTCAACGGCGACGCAACTTGGCGAGCAGCTTGCATATTATGCCTCTTGGTGTAAGTCCTTTCTCTGTTTCATTTTCCGTAAGACTTCATTTCATGAATACATATCCTTGTGAATTCCTCTGGATAATCAAATGTGTATTTACGAATACATTTCTAAGATGCATCGGAAGGCTGGGACTGGACTCACTAAAGTACTGTCAGAAATAGGCAAAACTGTTTTAGGCTGTTACTCTGTATCCCTAAAATTGACACAATTGCAAATAGCATATGTCGAGATAGCCCACTTCGGCCTAACTGGGCGTTCAGTGGGATGCGTAACACGATATCCAGAAAAGCATGTTTACTGGTAAAATCGGGCAAAACTTACAAAAAATACGAATAGCTGCTGAAAACAATAGATCAGACTATAGATGGCAATTAGGTCGCTCAGCCAGGTATGGCGACGGACCGTCGACTCACCTGGCCTGAAATGCGCGTGCTGCCTACAGGCACAAGGGGTCATCTCAAAGATATTTTGTGCTTTTTCATGTGTGTTGACTATGTCTCATCTACTGATTAACATCTTACGTGTCTCTCTTTCATAAAGTTTATGTTGAGATATGTAAAAGAGTATGATACCCGAAAACCATAGAAACGCATCGTAGTATATAGGTGGCATGACCACCCGAAGATCGACAGAAGTGGATATTATTTGTAAATTGTTATGATGTGCCGTGTACCTCCCCAGTATAATTGCCCTAAAGGATTATCTTATCTTAGCTGATATCTCTATCCCCAAGCCCGACCCCAGGTTTTGCTTATGAGACGACCCCTCCTATCTGTTTCTTTTTATAGTGACAGTGAGACTGCATGTTAGCTACATCCTTAATAGTTTCAGCATACGTCAGCTATCGTTTATAATGAAGCTACATCTAATTTCAAATTGGGCATTTAAAAAGTGTCATTTGTAATACAATATCGTCGCACGCTAATTTGCATAAAGCCATGGTCTGTTCCAAATACGTCTTGCTCATTTCTGCACTAATTTCCCGTCAGTAAAGTCCTTTTTCTCCGTTTCCTATCTCTCTACTACCGAGACTGTAGTTAGGCCGAACTTAGTTTAACAGATATTTCACACTTTCACATATGAACTACATAAATTGCGGTGATAAATAAGAAAATACAGTTTTTTTCTATTTCCGACAGTACTATTTTTTTATAGTCTCACCACACACCTAAGCCCACTCACAATTAAATTCAAAGCTACCTGAATTAGTAATAGGTGCGACATGTTCTCATTGTGAAGAATAACGAATTGCTACACAGGTATCATCTTCCTTCACCTTTAGATAGTTTCTACTATGTACTCTCGACCGGTGAAGATCCGGGTTAGAATTGGTCTTCAGAAACACATGCGTGTCGTAACATGCGACTAACGGGATCGGGTGGTTAGGCTCGCTGATTTAGTTGACACATGTCATCATATCGATACACGTATTGTTGATCACTGGATTGTCTGGTCCAGACTCGAGTATTTACAGATCACCGCCATATAGCTGGAATAACGCTGCGGCATTAAACAACAAAAAATGGACATTCCGATATGTAACACACACTATTTTCTTTTTAATATTTATTCATTTTATATTCTGTGGGTTTTTTATTTCAGTGGTATAATTGGCTGTTTGATACCGTTTTGTATGGATTCTACTAAGGACGCCGTTCACAAGTGTCCAAACTGTAAGGTTGTCCTGGGCACGGACCCTGGGCACTTCTGCTGAGTGATGTCATTGGCCAGAAGTTAACTGCACCTACAGAAAGAAATAGTAACAGCCATTGTCATTTAACAGAAAACCCAAAGAAGAAAAACATGCAATAAAATACGATTCAACATGAATAGCGATTAACAAATATATACGGCGCATATATATTCCAGTTTACGTTGCATTAGTGTCGCGTTGCAAATAGGATCTGGAAGGCCACAGGAAAGAAGAGATAGATCGTAACATCGTTAATGTAACTAGCGTGTCGGTGTGTGTGTGTGTGTGTGTGTGTGTGTGTGTGTGTGTGTGTGTGTGTGTGTGTGTGTGTGTGTGTGTGTGTGTGTGTGTGTGTGTGTGTGTGTGTGTGTGTGTGTGTGTGTGTGTGTGTGTGTGTGTGTGTGTGTGTGTGGTTAGCCTCGTGGTTAAAGCGTTCGCTCGTCACGAGGAAGAATGTTTGAAGCCCATTTCTGGTGTCTCCCATCGTGATCTTGCGGGAATATTGCTAAAATCGGCGTAAAACCATACTCACTCAGTCTGGCGTATCCAGGTCATTGAAAGTGGTTAGGAAATAAGGTCTCACTGTACTTAGCTCAGTCAATCAATTTCAAACGCTAAAACCACAATACGGCAGCCGTGGACATGTGTATAGAGGCTTCATATATGTTTTGTTTGGAGAGGATGTTGTCCAAAATTACACTTCGCACAAACCCGCCATTCCGTTCACAACCCAGCAAGCCAGCTTCCGTGCAATGTTTTCAAAGTCCTGGTTGGCTGCACACGTACTTGTCGAAGCGTACCTATAATATCTAACAGAAACATAATTACTTATCTGCCCTTGATTTGCATTCACTCAACGAAGAGTTTAGGGTGAATCTTACGTCCGGCGCGTAAACACTCCAGTTGCTTATAACACAGCCATGTTGTCACTGTTTGAATAGCGTACATGTAAAGGTGTTTATCAGAGTTTGCTATCGTTCAACTGACGATTTACATGCCATCTATTTGTCTTCAATATGTAGCTTGTTTCATAAAAGCGGACGTACTCATTTCTAATGTGAATGAAACATGCTTCCCACACTATCATATTTTATTTTGTGATTACACAATGCCATTGTAGAAAGTTGTCAAATGTAACATATGTTACTAAGAAAGTGTAATCCCAAAAATGACATATGTTACTGATTAGCAGGTACATTGACACACCATCAGTAAAATGCCTCACGTCTAGACTGCTGCAACGGTCTACTCTGTGGAATACCACAGAAGTACATGGACAAGTTACAGCGTGTTCAAAACACAGCTGTCAGGCTCATAACACGCACACATATGTATGTGCACCATAACACCAGTCCTGAAGGACTTACACTGGCTCCTTGTAAAAGACAGAGTTGTATTCAAACTTCTTGTGTTTGTTTACAAGTCCATTAATGGGCTTGCACCATTCTATCTCCAGGAACTAGTCAACATTCACAAGCCTTGAAGGTCACACAGATCAGATAGTCAGCAAAGCTTAGATGCTCCATCTGTCCGAACCACAACATACGGGGACAGAACATTTAGCAGAGTGGGTGCGGTACTCTGGAATGGATTACCTGAAAATGTCAGAAAATCGGAAAATCATCCTCTTCAAATGAGCATCGACTAAGCGCACATGAGCAGGACTCTAGATATGTAGCACTATACAAATGTCTAATTTGATTTGATTTGGTTACTTATTCTATTTCACCGACATATATTAATGTATGACCGGTGCACCTTATAGATTTGGTGCACTTTATAGGTGCATATTTTTTCATATATTTTTCACTTTCTTGGGAATAAAGGTATTGTTTCATGTTGTATATACTAGTCTCTGGTTGTGCTCATTGGTATATGCTTTACTCTGATCATATTATAGCATTATGGTTAGACTTAAATAAACTATATTTCTCTTTAATTCTCTCATCGAGATATACAATTATAAATGGCACATTTATCCATTTCCACGTCTACTTTAAAAGAGCACTGATCTAGAGCAACCTAAAGTGGTGCCTTTTGCTATTTACAGATTTTTCTAAAAACAATTTGTTTCCATGGAAACGTTTTGAAATTAGTTTCAAAAGCAAGAGGTGGGCTTCGTTTCCGGAGCGCAACTCGAAAACCGTTCAATATCATTCCTTGGCATATACCTGTGTAATAGCCATCAAAGTGTTCTTGTGGAGGTAGTCACGATAACACAGGCTAGGGTGTGAGGACTGTTTATTTGCTGGTGACGACACACTGATGACAAACTGACACCCCTGTGATTTCCACGGGGGTGTTGTTGTCCGTACTCAAGACACTCTTGTATGAACCCTTTTAATTTCTAGTCCTGTGTCTGTCTCCAAGTGTCCATGAAGTCAAGTTGTAAGTGCCAGTGACAAGAATGCATATGTGGAAACAAAGGGTTTGAAAGTGGAACACCTAATTCAAAATTAGCCAATCGTTAAAATACCTGGGCTTATGCTTTGATTGCTAGCTGATCTACCCGACACTGAAGTGGACTTATCCAAATGAAATTACTTAACAAAAGAATTGAGCTTTAATGATACTAGTTTACTTGCAACTGCTTAAATATCTTATGCAGCCTGAAATAAGAGATTTGATTATTTATAAATCAGTAAATATGACTGGTTCATATATAGGAAATTAATACAATAAATAGTTAGTAATTACTGTTTAGCCTGAAATATACAAATAACTTTATTTTAAACTTGGTAAAGTAAAACAGCTAAATGATAAAACATAATCACTATGTACAGACTTAAACTCTACCACATACTGGCGACATTTGAGATGTGCACTTCTATTGTATCTTGTCCTTGAGGATTGTATTTAACAATAATAGGGGCAATGTCAAGATCCTGCGGTACTGCTGAACAATTGGTTGGTTGTAGCAGTGCACATACCTGAGGGTAAGCCAACCATTTATTGAGTTGACCCTTGATAACTGTGGTGCTGTTACTAGGGATGACGACACTCTGATGTTCTGCACTCCCAATCAAGGCAAGTTTCCCATGGTTTCTCACTAATTCTTTCTCATGTAATACAATACTTCGGAATGCCAAGTACCAAGGGGTATGCAAATCGGCTTTCTGTAAAACCCATCTCCATTTTGGTTTTTGCATACTTCAAGAAGATGTGATAACACATTTGTACCTAATAAGGCTAAGACCTTACCACTGTATCTGGTATTAGATACCACAAGGAAAAGACAAGGCAGAGGGGCCTCAATAATGCCACCTCCAGGAGTCCTAACTGAAACCTCTATAAATCCCTGATATTGAGAAAGTATTGATACAGTTGCTCCTATATTAATAAATCAGTGAATATGACTGGTTCATGTATCTGAAATTAATACAATAAATAGTTATTAATTACTGTATTGCCTGAAATATACAAATGATTTCATTTTAAACATGTTACAGTAAAACAGCTAAATGATAAAACATAATCACTATGTACAGATTTAAACTCTACCACACATGTACAAACATTGGCTGACTGAGTTTAATTTTACGCCGCTTTTGACAATATTCCAGCAATATCACGGCGGTACAGACATTGAATATGAATATAGTACACATGAATATAGTTTTAATAGTTATGCATATTCAAATAGCAATAGTACTAATGTGTGTCAAGTATGTGCACTAAAGTATCCCCTTTTGTAGAAACAGAAAACTGTTAAAAGTCTGGCATTTACGTGTACAGAGGGTGAATATGGCACACCTGAATATCTTGCACATAATAGTTGCACATGTTCAAATAGCAGTACTAAAGTGTGCCAAGTAAGTGTTCTAAAGGCGTCTTTTTTCTGTGGAAGCAGTTAAATGTCTAACATATACATGTACAGAAAATGGATATAGTACACATTATTATATTGGTAATAGTTGTACATATTCAGACAGCAATAGTACTACCATGAGTTAAGTATGTGTACTAAAGGCATCTATTTTCTGTGGAAGCAGTTGAATGTCTGGTATATACATGTACGGAAAGAGACATTGGTAATAGTTGAACATATCCAGACAGCATTAGTACTAACATGAGTCATGTGTGTGGCTTTCAACAAAACTTGGCAGATATATGCAACAGATCCCAAAGTGGTGCCTTTTGCTATTTGCAGATTTTTGTCATTTTTAGTTTTCTTGGTTTCCATGGAAACGTTTTGGAATCAGCCTCAAAAGGGAGGGGTGGGCTTCGTTTCCGAGAGCACAACTCGAAAACCGTTCAATATATAATCAGCAGCAAAAAAACGTCAGTACGAATTCAAAATTAGATAGGCACTGTAATCAAATCAATACAGAAATGGACATAATAAGCGGATCAAAACAAATTTTGTGTATTATATCTTGACACATCAATGAATAACTCAGCACAGTTCCAAGACATTACGTGAACTTTTCAGTCCATTCAGACCCTTGACTTCAGTATCTAGTGTGACAACCACGAGCGGCAATAACTACAGCACAGCTTCTATGCATGGAGTGCACCAATCAATTGATGAAGAGAATTGGCACCTGGAACCACACTCTGAGAAAGGCCTGGCGCAATAAATCGGCTGTGTTCGGCCTTGGTATGACGTTATTCGGTCTCCTCTGAATTTCATCCCAAAGATGTTCAATTGGGTTTAAATCGGGACCAAGGGCTGGCCACTGCATAATGTTGACACCGTTCTGCTGTAGGAAGTCCCGTGTAGCTCTGGCAGTATGGGTCCGGGCGTTATCATGCTGGAATGGCGAAATGTGGTATGACGTGGGGTCTGAGAGCTTGGTCGATGTAGCGCACAGCTGTGATGCCGCCTCCTCTCCCTGGACCAAGGTTCTGGAACACCACAGGACCGACTCTCTGGTTCAGGCCTATTCCACCCCATACCATGATGCTTGCACCTCCCCATAAGTCTCTGTCAATAACACATTGGTCTGTGTAACGCTGGGCACGTCGTCGTCATATTCATGTTCTGTCATCTGCAGTTGATACGCAGTACCGACTCTCATCTGTGAACAGAACAGTTCTCCATTGCCTGTATCGCCAGTTTTGGCGTTGTAGGGCAAACTGTAGACGTTCACGCCGATGACGAGGGCTGAGGATAGGTCCACGGTAAGGGCTACGGCAATGGAGGTTCCCGCTGTTAAGACATTGGCGTACTGTATCACAACCTGGCGGTCTTGTTGTCTTGTGGTCACCTTTAGTTTGCCAGTACGGGGGCGATCATTTGTGGTGCTGGTGGCCCGGAAACGTTGCTGCAGCCTGTAGATGGTCCGAACGTTGACCTGGATGTGATTGGCAACCGCTTGTGCAGTGTGACCAGCTTCAAGTCTTCCTAGCGCCTGGTTCCTCTGAGCTGTCGTGAGTCAAGGCATCCTGCTGACGTTGTAATATGAATGTTTCAACCAGGTTTGGGGGGCATTCTATAGGGTTGGCCCTTGTGAACAGCACGTGCAGAATGAGTTGCATGAAAAACATGGAGATTAGGTTGCGTTTTTTAGACCATTTCCAGGGTTCCATTCTGAGTTTGGGAAGGAATGTCTTTGCTCAGGTTAAGTTGGAGATGTTGTCAAAAAATATACAATCGAAACATTAAATGAGTTTACAGTTATCCGTTTCTGCGAAGGAAAATTCCAAACTGACGTTTCTTTTGCTGCTTAGTATATTTCAACAAGACTTAGCAGATATATCAAACAGATCTCGAAGTGGTGCCTTTTGCTATTTGCAGCTTTTTGGCAGTTATCTTTTTCATGATTTCCATGGGAACGACTTGGACTTAGTCTAAAAAAATCAAGTTGGGCTTTAAGTAGCTGTCAGATGATTTGTTCTTTCATATTTGTCATCTCCTGATGACTCTTGTTTAACTAAACTAATAATTCCTCTCATGTTGCACTTACACGTGGGTATTGTATAACATGTAGTACATTTACAGTAAGTCATGCCATGAATCGACACCTACATTTAAAACATCAGGGCCCTTATTCTTGAAACGTTCGTAGCCCTAAGAATTCTTAACTTTGATCGTAGCCAATGTGTTAAGAATGGGCTTAAAGAGTTCGTACGGCTACGAACGCTTTGAGAATAGCTAGCCAGACTGATAAGGCTTAGTAATTAATTAAACCAGACAGGATCCCGGAGAGGTGCGTTATGGAACCTTAAACTTTATTGGGTAATCTGGGTGGTGAATCTGTAACTGCTCATTATTTGTCTGAAAACTCCTTTACACACGTAGCTGTTCTTTGAACGATAAGTAGTAAACAATACCCTGGTCACAGAGTTAGACTGAATAAATAAAGACTGAATTTACAGTAACAAAGTATACAGTTGTTGTTTATGTTGTTCGTCACATTAGGAAACAGAAAACTCAATGATCAACAAGGACAAGATAGAGCAAAAGGGTCTTCAGATCGAAAAACTACTCTACATTGTGAAACAAATATGAAACATGTAATATAAAAACATTACCGATGAAGTGACGATAACAAAAAAACGTATTTCTACCTGGATTAAAATATGAATGATAATTTTCAGAAAACAAAAACTTGACCAAAATTTAAGTGACCGGTTAGTATAGTACCCGAATATTGTTTTCGTAAATCTGTAACTGGTTTATAAGTACAAAAAGAAACACATTTTGGACCAAGACAGATCCATATCGAGAGCAATAAGTATATTGTGGACATTCCTCGTGAACTCAGGGGCGATAGGGTAGCCTAGTCGTCAAAGCGTTCACTCGTCAAGTTATATAATGCAAAAATAGAGATGCTGCTACGTCAATAGCTAATCAACCACCCATTTAATGAAGTCTTTGATCATGAGACAAAAAAATTCTGTTTGTTGTTTTTCGAGTTCATACGACTTTTGGTGTAAACATATGTCCTTAATATTTTAAATTGATACTTCTTTAATGTGGACACAAGAAATAAGCTCCGAGCATTTACCATACTGGGAATCGAACTATGGCTTTCGGCGTAACGAGTACAAGCCTACACTGCCAGCCCCTGCGATATTAAATATTTGCTCATCGTCAGGATCCTTGGATTTCATCCAACGAAAGTAACACCGCTTCTTGAAATATCATAAATTCACAAATATAATCAAATATATTCAATGTTATATGACAATGAATTTGGTGTCAGTTTTATAGCATAATCCATGACGCCATGGAAGTAAATGAAATACACTGGCAAACAATTTACTTGCCATTGGGATCACTGCGTTCATCAAACTGGGGCAAGTGATTGTGGTCACCGTCATGTTATCTCGACTGCACTCTGTACTGTGTAGGGGGAATACATGCGAGAATAGCTATCCGCTCACAGGGAGAGGCGGTAACATCCGTTGTACTTACCTGTACTACGCTGTCCTTCGTCAAGCTTTCGAGGTAATTAACTCGTTACAGGTGGCATACAAGGTGATGTACTACCCCCTTCCTTGTGTATGCATTGTGTTAAGATTCTCTATCGTGTTATCTTCTATGTGTCAACAGTGTCCTTGTTTTTAACTGTATCGACGCCTTATCATTTCTTTGTTGTAGGCCTAGATTACCTATGAATTGTGGGAACGATTGCTTGTAATGTTACATGTATATATATATTACGCTGAAAACTACTGTCTTCGTGTCAAACTTTTAATATCCATGCATGCCCTACAATATATGAACCTGTAATATACCGACGATTGCGAAACAAGACACACGGATTTTGAAATCGACACACCACGTTCCACGATAAACATACATTATCATCACATTAGACTGACACCAGTATTGTATTTGTTGTGTGTGTCTGTCTTCCGTGTCTCTCTATCCTATCCTTTCACTTCAGTAGTATCACCCGATCACATTGTGTCTACCGTATATGTATAATCCTCTCTCTCCCCAAGTCTATCCCCAAGTCTTTGTTATTATGGGTGTGGTGGGTGCTATCACTGATTTTCAGTGACACAATTGATCTAGTTTTCACCGCTACTGTCACTTACGCCTGATGCAAACATTTCAGTGGATAATTTTTTTGAACAATTGGGTGATAATGTTTGCGAAAAGACAAAAATCGACTTTGGTAGTTTGAAATTGAAATGTGGAAACTGTTTTGTTTTGTTTTGAACATGTCACTTAAGTTCCCATAGGATCCCTTAATATTTCTAGTATCGTGTCTTTCCCCACTGGCTCTGCATGTACTCCGTGGCGTCATATTTCAGAATTGTTCATCTCCACATGATCCCTATCATTGTATCTACGAAAGTGTGACCTTGTACGCCCCCATGTCCCTCTAGAAGTGTGCCTCCTGGCCATTCTATGAATACTGTGTACGCCTGTAAATGTTTTCGTCAGTCCCCATGTGTCCCTCTATGTCTCCACACTATCATAACACTACTTGTGTAGTGAGGCCTTAACATGTCTCCAGCTGGGTGACACCATGCCCCTACTTCCTGGTCCGTGCCTTCCTCACCCTCTATCCCTGGAATGTACCCGAACCTGTTCTATCACACTATTTTTGCACTGTGCACCAGAACACATCTCCTGTCCTTCCTACCCATGCAGTGTGCTCATGCACACTTCTCCCTATCCTTCTGTCATCATATTTCTGCATTGTGCCCTTGTACATGCCCCGTCTGAAATGTTGTCTGTCTATGGTTGTACATGCCCCCGTCTGCAATGTTGTGTGTCTATGGTTGTACATGCTGTGTGTCTAAGGTTGAACATGCTGTGTGTCTATGGTTGTACATGCTGTGTGTCTTAGGTTACACATGATGTGTGTCTATGGTTGTACATGCCCCCGTCTCCAAGTATGTGTGTCTATGGCTGTACATGCCCCAGTCTGCAATGTTGTGTGTCTATGGTTGTACATGCCCCCGACTGCAATGCTGTGTGTCTATGGTTGTACATGCTGTGTGTCTAAGGTTGTACATGTTGTGTGTCTATGGTTGTACATGATGTATGTCTATGGTTGTACATGCTGTGTGTCTATGGTTGTACATACTGTGTATCTATGGTTGTACATGCTGTGTGTCTAAGGTTGTACATATTGTGTATCTATGGTTGTACATGCTGTGTGTCTATGGCTGTACATGCTGTGTGTCTAAGATTTTACATGCTGTGTGTCTATGGTTGTACATGCTGTGTGTCTAAGATTTTACATGCTGTGTGTCTATGGTTGTACATGCTGTGTGTCTAAGGTTGTACATGCTGTGTGTCTATGGTTGTACATGCTGTGTGTCTGAGGGTGTACATGCTGTGTGTCTAAGATTTTACATGATGTGTGTCTATGGTTGTACATGCTGTGTATCTATGGTTGTACATGCTGTGTGTCTAAGGCTGTACATGCTGTGTGTCTATGATTGTACATGCTAAGTATCTATGGTTGTACATGCTGTGTGTCTATGGTTGTACATGCTGTGTGTCTGAGGGTGTACATGCTGTGTGTCTTAGGTTACACATGCTGTGTGTCTATGGTTGTACATGATGTGTGTCTATCGTTGTACATGCCCCCGTCTCCAAGTATGTGTGTCTATGGCTGTACATGCCCCAGTCTGCAATATTGTGTGTCTATGGTTGTACATGCCCCCGACTGCAATGCTGTGTGTCTATGGTTGTACATGCTATGTGTCTAAGGTTGTACATGTTGTGTGTCTATGGTTGTACATGATGTATGTCTATGGTTGTACATGCTGTGTGTCTATGGTTGTACATACTGTGTATCTATGGTTGTACATGCTGTGTGTCTAAGGTTGTACATATTGTGTATCTATGGTTGTACATGCTGTGTGTCTATGGTTGTACATGCTGTGTGTCTATGGTTGTACATGCTGTGTGTCTATGGTTGTACATGCTGTGTGTCTAAGGTTGTACATGATGTATGTCTTTGGTTGTACATGCCCCCGTCTGCAATGTTGTGTGTCTATGGCTGTACTTGCCCCCGTCTGCAATGTTGTGTGTCTATGGTTGTACATGCTGTGTGTCTATGGTTGTACATGCTGTGTATCTATGGTTGTACATGCTGTGTGTCTAAGGCTGTACATGCTGTGTGTCTATGATTGTACATGCTGAGTATCTATGGTTGTACATGCTATGTGTCTATGGTTGTACATGCTGTGTGTCTGAGGGTGTACATGCTGTGTGTCTAAGATTTTACATGCTGTGTGTCTATGGTTGTACATGCTGTGTATCTATGGTTGTACATGCTGTGTGTCTAAGGCTGTACATGCTGTGTGTCTATGGTTGTACATGCTGAGTATCTATGATTGTACATGCTGTGTGTCTATGGTTGTACATGCTGTGTGTCTGAGGGTGTACATGCTGTGTGTCTAAGATTTTACATGCTGTGTGTCTATGGTTGTACATGCTGAGTATCTATGGTTGTACATGCTGTGTGTCTATGGTTGTACATGCTGTGTATCTATGGTTGTACATGCTGTGTGTCTAAGGCTGTACATGCTGTGTGTCTATGATTGTACATGCTGAGTATCTATGATTGTACATGCTGTGTGTCTATGGTTGTACATGCTGTGTGTCTGAGGGTGTACATGCTGTGTGTCTAAGATTTTATATGCTGTGTGTCTGAGGTTGTACATGCTGAGTATCTATGGTTGTACATGCTGTGTGTCTATGGTTGTACGTGCTGTGTGTTTGAGGGTGTACATGCTGTGTGTCTAAGATTTTACATGCTGTGTGTCTATGGTTGTACATGCTGTGTGTCTAAGATTTTACATGCTGTGTGTCTATGGTTGTACATGCTGTGTGTCTAAGGTTGTACATGCTGTGTGTCTATGGTTGTACATGCTGTGTGTCTGAGGGTGTACATGCTGTGTGTCTAAGATTTTACATGCTGTGTGTCTATGGTTGTACATGCTGTGTGTCTAAGATTTTACATGCTGTGCGTCTATGGTTGTACATGCTGTGTGTCTAAGGTTGTACATGCTGTGTGTCTATGGTTGTACATGCTGTGTGTCTGAGGGTGTACATGCTGTATGTCTTAGGTTACACATGATGTGTGTCTATGGTTGTACATGCCCCCGTCTCCAAGTATGTGTGTCTATGGCTGTACATGCCCCAGTCTGCAATGTTGTGTGTCTATGGTTGTACATGCCCCCGACTGCAATGCTGTGTGTCTATGGTTGTACATGCTGTGTGTCTATGGTTGTACATGATGTATGTCTATGGTTGTACATGCTGTGTGTCTGTGGTTGTACATACTGTGTATCTATGGTTGTACATGCTGTGTGTCTAAGGTTGTACATATTGTACATGCTGTGTATCTATGGTTGTACATGCTGTGTGTCTATGGTTGTACATGCTGTGTGTCTAAGATTTTACATGCTGTGTGTCTATGGTTGTACATGCTGTGTGTCTAAGATTTTACATGCTGTGTGTCTATGGTTGTACATGCTGTGTGTCTAAGGTTGTACATGCTGTGTGTCTATGGTTGTACATGCTGTGTGTCTATGGTTGTACATGCTGTGTGTCTGAGGGTGTACATGCTGTGTGTCTAAGATTTTACATGATGTGTGTCTATGGTTGTACATGCTGTGTATCTATGGTTGTACATGCTGTATGCCTATGGTTGTACATGCTGTGTGTTTCTATGGTTGTACATGCTGTGTGCCTCTGGTTGTACATGTTGTGTGCCTATAGTTGTACATGCTGTGTGTCTATGGTTGTACATGCTGTGTGTCTGAGGGTGTACATGCTGTGTGTCTAAGATTTTACTTGTTGTGTGTCTATGGTTGTACATGCTGTGTGTCTATGGTTGTACATGCTGTGTGTCTATGATTGTACATGATGTGTGTCTAAGGTTGTACATGCTGTGTGTCTGAGGGTGTACATGCTGTGTGTCTAAGATTTTACATGCTGTGTGTCTATGGTTGTACATGCTGTGTGTCTAAGGTTGTACATGATGTGTGTCTAAGGTTGTACATGCTGTGTGTCTGAGGGTGTACATGCTGTGTGTCTAAGATTTTACATGCTGTGTGTCTATGGTTGTACATGCTGTGTGTCTATGGTTGTACATGCTGTGTCTATGGTTGTACATGCTGTGTGTCTGAGGGTGTACATGCTGTGTGTCTAAGATTTTACATGCTGTGTGTCTATGGTTGTACATGCTATGTGTCTAAGGTTGTACATGCTGTGTGTCTGAGGGTGTACATGCTGTGTGTCTAAGATTTTACATGCTGTGTGTCTATGGTTGTACATGCTGTGTGTCTAAGGTTGTACATGCTGTGTGTCTGAGGGTGTACATGCTGTGTGTCTAAGATTTTACATGCTGTGTGTCTATGGTTGTACATGCTGTGTATCTATTTTTGTACATGCTGTATGTCTATGGTTGTACATGCTGTGTGTCTAAGGTTGTACATGCTGTGTGTCTGAGGGTGTACATGCTGTGTGTCTAAGATTTTACATGATGTGTGTCTATGGTTGTACATGCTGTATGTCTATGGTTGTACATGCTGTGTGTCTATGGTTGTACATGCTATGTGTCTAAGGTTGTACATGTTGTGTGTCTATGGTTGTACATGCTGTGTGTCTATGGTTGTACATGCTATGTGTCTATGGTCGTCAATGGCTGTGTAAAGTAAACATGCCACGATAACGCGTCATCTTACTATTATTGTCCTATCTGAAAAGATAAGACATGACCTTGCAACGAACACCATTAATCAATATAGAATCTGTGTGGTAATACCACTGGGTGTACACAATAAATTCGGACAGTTATATTTAACAATGTAAGGTTAAAAACAGTTATTATAAGTACATAATGTGGCATGTCAGTAACTTGAGTTCATGTTGTGGAAAGATACGGTTACCCTTTATAAGCTGTATCTGTCAATAAAGGCAGGTGTTCATGAGCAATAATCAATTCCTCGGGTCTCGATGACACATAATCAGACAGGTCACACATTGCGGCCACCTGACCCTAATCTCTGACGACAAGCATATAATAGTATTAAGGGCCCTGTTCTGCACTTCACACAGCACAGCGCGTGGATCGTTGTTACAAGATTGAATCTGACACCGGTATGTTTACACGACCATTTTAGTATGTTGTGCAGCAATTAACCAGAAGACATGTACAGTTTGATTGTTGTTTAACTTCAATCAGATAAATACACTGAGGATACTTTATATTTATGTGGTCAGTGATATTCAATTTTTTCATATGTGACCAATTCCATAAAAGGAGATATTATGTAAAAAAAATTATTGAAATGATACATTTCAATTTCAGATACTCTTGATGCTGTAAAGTGTCGATCCAGGCGCCAGTCATGTCGACCGAGAAAAGCAGTTATGTTGACAGTCCTCCTCCGCCCTATTCGGAGCCAGGTGAGTGTGGAGGCATGAGTCAAGGTGACGTTCTATGTCACTATATTAACTGATCCGGTAGATAGAAACCTAGCATTGAAAGGGCATATCAGTTAGGAGGTGTTACGCGTAGTCACGTGTCAGGAGGTCACTGATAACGGTTATTTTAGGTGTGCTGTTGCTATTGACTGCAATACCCGGGAAATATACAGAACGCCGACAACCCAGAATGTGAAAACACGTTGTGTACGTAGTTATTCAAACCTTGTCAACCCCTAAGAAGCTGTGTTACTTATATATGAACAAATATGTTTTACTGAAAATAAGCTCTATTAATACTGTGTATACTCGGCGTCATTAATGAAGGGTCAAGCTATTAGTAACACTATTTCAGTCTTAAAAATTGAAAATCTTCGTTTTTGTTTGACATATGTACAACTGAATGTTTTACACACTTTCTTAACAGTTTGAAAAAACGCATCAGGCCGTTGAAATGTCATTATTACGTTCTTTAACGTCCGATACATTTCTTTACAAATGGCACATCGGTCATGGTTTGATCACTCCTACTGGGCGTACTCCACTGCATGTGGTCGACGGTAATCTTACCGGACAGAGTTATCGGGACGAGATTCTGGCAGCTATAGCAGTGCCATTCCTGAAAGCTGTGCATGGCTTTTATGGTCGACCCTCTTTACTGCAAGACAACAACGCTAGACCTCAGAGGAATTCCTTAGACAGCAGGGCGTAGAGCGGATGGAGTGGTGAGCATGTTCGCCAGACCTCAACCCAATTGAGCCTGCCTGGGTTGAACTCAGTCGACGTGTGTGCACACGTCATTCAGCACCACTGGATCACCCAGGAATCCGCAGAGCTCTTGTAGAGATTCCGCAAGGTTTCTTTATGAACTTGATAAGGAGCATGAGAACAAGGTGCTCCTGGACGCGCTTGGACTGACTGAGTTTAGTTTTACGCCGCTTTTAGCAATATTCCAGCAACATCATGGCGGGGGACACCTGAAATGGGCTTCACACATTGTATCCAAGTGGGGATTCGAACCCGGGCCTTCAGCGGACGCTTTAACCACTAGGCTACCCCACCGCCCCTGGACGCGCTTGGGGCTGAGGTTAGATGAAATTGGGTTTAACGTCGTGCTTGAGAATATTTCGCTCATATGACGACGTGCATGCGTGTGTATGTGTAGGTGCGGCTGCTTGTACTAGCCCAGACTTAAGCTGGTTTTATAGTGCTGAGATACCATGCCGCAGTGAAGCATGAATACCCCACTCAGACACATTATACTGACTCCGAGCCGACCAGTCCTTGTTGTACCTATTAATGCCGAGCGCCAGGCAGGGACAAACAAGTACCATATTTTAACGTCTTTTGGTATGACGCGGTCGGGGATCGAACCCGCGACCTTCTGCTCTCCGGGCGGACGCTCTAACCACTACACCACGGGGGCGGTCGGACGCGCTTGGAGGGTACACAAGATGTTAAATGACCGAGTACTTTATGTTTGTCATTTTCATTATTGGGAGGTTGGTGTATACAACTGATGTTTGTTAGTGCTGTTTGAACATTTTGTCTGTATGTTACGATGTGCCCCGTTTGTGAGGTGAGGTGAGGTGAAATTGGGTTTCACGTCGTGCTTGAGAATATTTCGCTCATATGACCATCCCGTTTGTCAACACATTAAACATTATAATGACAGTCATAGTTCTATTATTTTCTAAACTTTTCTTTACACGTGCTATACGTGCTATATATCATTTGACCCTTTATTAATGACGCGTAGTATATATGGTTCGTTTCAATCCTTTGCGAAAAAAGTAAAGAAGATATTTTACAGAGAACATGAATTTCAACATGATAAATGATTGAAATGAGTATATGTTTGTGGTCTAACAAGGCACGGGCACTTATCAACAACCATCTATAATGCCGCCACCGCAACAACAGCAGCAGCAACTCGTCACGGCTGTGACTATGGCACCGAGCGGCACAGTTGTCATGTTCCCACGTGAACCGACGTTACTCACGTGTCAGTTCTGTCGGGCGACTGTCACCACGACGGTGGAGATGGTCAACGGGGACGCAACACAGCGAGCTGTTCTCATATTGTGCATACTTTTGTAAGAACAATTCTATATCCTTAGTGCTCCCCTGTAATGTCCTCCTGTGTTTTCAGACAGCAGAAGCACGTGTCTTTGGAATCCCGGACGGTACATTGTCGCGTTGTTGCACTTTGGTTAATTTTGCCGATTTTTGCTTGTTTTTGTGAGGGCGGAACGCGACAATGCGATAATGTCCCTTCTTGAATCCCATACATGTCTCCTTCTTCCGCCGCCTTACACCTGCAGTGTGCTACCATTGTACATTGTTTTTACCATAACAGGGTTATGTTGTGTTTCGGAGACTGTTTTCCGCCTTGTAACGTTCTGGGTTTATTCAAATCCAATGTTTTTTTCAAATGCACACTTTCTTTCACCTGGCAGTCTATGTGTAGCTCACGCACTCACTCATTCACTCAATCATTTCAGTGGCGTTATCGGAGCGTTAATTCCCCTGTGCATGGACTCCACCAAAGATGCTGTTCACAAGTGTCCCAACTGCGGCGTCGTGCTGGGCATGAATCCTGGCCAGTTTTGTTAAGGGAAGTACCAGCTCTGAAGCAAGTGCAGTATATGGACTGTATTGTATCAAGGGTAGTTGCTTGTTTTATGACTATTCATTAAAGCCAAGTGATATAATTATGTAAGAATATTAGTTGATATGCTGGTATACAGATCCAGTAACTCTGATTACATGCGTAGTTTGCTTTGGGTAGTCTTGCAGATTTCATAGCTTTTCTAAGCATTGCGTTCCTCCATCACCTGTGAACACATATGCTATGCAGTATAGTCGCTATTTGAAACCATCAGAGCGCCGGCTGCTTCTTATATGACGGAAATCACAGAATACAATACACAAACGGCAATACTTCTCTCGTAACACTTCACAACAACAGCCTTGTGCCTACATGCTACACACACCCTATCGCTATCAGCGCAGTTCAGTATCAGCACAACATTCCCGCAGAGTGCAGAGTTCATTTACCCGAGAGTTGTCCATGCCTTCGTTGCTTGACAAAAATATCGCTATCAGCACAGTGTAGTATCAGCACAAAATTCCCGCAGAGGGCAGAGTTAATTTACCCGAGTGTTGCCCATGCCTTTGTTGCTTGACAAAAATTGAAACACGTCATCACTGCAAATACCGGCATATGTTTTCACGGGTCATGGAAAGGAACATTTTGTATATATGTGGGTTTAGAAATGGATATTTTGACATCAAACAAGGTTTTCCAATGTTTAGTTCCCCGCTGTATCCATACTGCGTAATTAATAGTATGTCATATGACAGTGATGAATAAGCGAAATCATTTTTTATTTTATTTAGATTATATATGTATTGTTACGAACAAAATCTCGTGTGTAAATATTCATCAAAACGATATCAAACATTTCTCAATGTTTTTCCAATGTCAGTCTGTGTGGTGAGCCTCAAAACAAAACGTGGATGACAGACACATATTGAAATGACACGTTTGTAAATACAACAATTTCTGCCTAAAATGTTTAACCCAAGAACAAGATTTATGAAACATTTACTTAAAAGAGTTGTGTAGTTTTTCGCTGTATATTGTAAAACGCTAATAAACTGTGCAGCGACTGTCTTTGTCAATTCTGCTTGGTGGCGAACTGCTAATATTGATATAATGTAACGTTTTAGGACCGACAGTTTGACATTAGGTAGACCAGTGGTATCCTTTGAAAAAACCGTTCCTGAAAATGTTTGAAAAAATGTTTGTTCTCAGGTTTTACCCCAAAATGAATCATTCATGTTTATATTCCAAACTGAATGAGCTGTTGGTGTAAAAACTGTTTCAGATTCCTCAATGTTTTTGTTTCGTATTGTGATGTATGAAGTCTCAGGTCTCAAACAAAGTGGTTTGGGCATTCTATTTTTGTCTTCCCTAAACATTCCCTGAATATTCTAATACCAATGACACACAGATTATGTACAAAGTTTTCAATCTTTTGAGCAAAAAAGATGAATCATAAAATAGAAGATGTTACAGTGACGTATCGGAGCAGATAAAAATAGGTCTCTGATTAGTGGAACAACCGTCACCAGAAGTAAAAGTGCACCAGTGAAATTTAATTATGCTTAAGGAATAAGGAGAAAGTCCTGTGTTAGCACGTTTACGTTCAATTTTTTTTTGCATCTTGCATCGTAAATGGACTTCCTCAGGTAATAACGCTTGGAATCGAACCCAGAGAAAAGATCGTGGCACCCTGAACACTCCTGGGACATCTGAATGATCAATCCACTCCTTCCCAAACACCAATCATGTCGTGTAACACTGGGTTCAGTGGTGAACCGGTTCGGTGTGGTGTGCGCCAAAGCTTTGGTTTCTGAATTTGGTTTCATTACGGTAAATTTAAGGAATGATCAGATCAGAGAAGATAATGTACACTTGGGAAGAGATTGAGATTTCTTCCGCAAGTGGAATGAGACGGATGACCAGTAGTCAAGATATCTGTTCTTGGACGGAGTCGATGACGGGTGACCTGGGCAGTCAGATGATACCGACGGTGGATCTCCAGTACCGCGGACCAGTGAAGATCCGGGTTAGAGTTGATCTTCAGTAACCCATGCTTGTCGTAAGAGGCGACTAACGGGATCGGGTGGTCAGGCTTGCTGACTGGATTGACACATGCCATCGTTTCCCATTTGAGTAGATTGATGTTCATGCTGTTGACCACCTGATTGTCTGGTCCAGACTCGATTATTTAGAGACCGCCGCCATGTAGCTGGAATATTGCTGAGTGCGGCGTAAAACAACAAACAAACAAACCATACTGCCTAAGGACTGCATATATATATACATATATATGTTCTTGCTTTCAACGGATATCAAACAAAACCACATGATCGAAATTGCATTAGAGGACTTAAAGTATGCAGGTGCATGTCACAGTAATGATGTCTGTCAATATTGCAACTCATACCATCGTCATTGCGTAGAACGATGCTGCTGATCACTGGATTTTCTGGTCCTCGATTATTTACAGACCGCCGACCCATATAGCTGGAATATTGCTGCGTGCAAACCAAGCTAAATCCTGTGTAGCTCGGCCTTTGTCTACTTTGAAAAGGTCAACGTTACGCTTGAGTGTATAAACGTCCTCACCAAGGAGGGACATTCTCGCATTGTCACATTCTCACATTGTCGAACTTTCGTAGATTAATATAAGCGTTATAAAAAAACACACAGCGAAAATGCAAATTAAATGGCCAAAATGTCGCCAATGTGGTTAATTGTTGATTGTTTTGTAAAGGCGACATCGCGACAATGTCCCTGCCAGGATTCCATAGTACACACCTGCGTTGTTTGATGCCGTGTATCATGTAAAACACCAACGCTAAAACAGACACCACAATCGTCAGTTTAAAATCGATTTCCTTCATGATGACACGCAGTTGAAACATTATGAAACATCGCATATGACTTAAAATGACCTTTTTTATCAATTTCAACATGTACATTTCTTCCAATATGGTGAGTATTTCATCCCAGCGCGCACCTGTATCTCGTAAACGCCAACTATTGTGTCTTCCAGAATAGAAGGGCCGGTAGAGTAGCCTAATGGTTAAAGCGTTCGCTCGTCACGCCGAAGACCTGGGTTCGATTCTCCACATGGGTACATGTGTGAAGCCCATTTCTGGTTTCCCCGCGGTGATATTGCTGAAATATTGCTAAAAGCGGCGTAAAACCAAATTCAATAGAACTATTGTTGCGCTATTGTTTGGCTTCGTGATATTTTACACATGAATCGAAACTAGATGGGTGCTTAGCAACGATTATTGGAAATTATGTATTAGAAAGCTGCTACACACAGGTACACAAACCATCAGTGTTAGTTGGTAGTAGTTAACTTCTTTGTCCGTGTCTGACCCCGGCTCAGAATGTCCTTGGTTCGAATCCCATTTCGGCACTTACGGATATTTTATACACAGAACATAAACAGAACAGCAAACAATAATTATGGAAATTAGCTGACGTTATAGGGTATCTCCTGACTGAAGTTAACCCATGGTTTTTTCGTTATGTTCATGTAAATGTGCGGAGTCTTCAAAGACGAAAACTTACATAAGTGTTGAATGGGTTCTGTGAGTGGTAAACAAACATCACATGTAACCATGGGTACAAACCTGACCGCAAGGAATTCTGGAAGGCCACAAGGCAAATACACACTTCACGTCTGTTTACAGTTCAGCTGTATGTTGCTGAATATATTTCCAGAAATACTTTTTAACGATCATGACACCTGATAACACGAAAACATCGTCCCTCATTGGGTACCAGTGAAGCAGTTTATCTGTACTAAAAATGGTGACTATAAAACAATGGTCATATCCCCGTTAAATTCCCCGTCACTAGCTGACCATGGTATCTGAGCACATGTGACGTGTTTTAATGGTAAGAATTGGACCCGAGAAATTCTGGATCGGGTTATTACTCATCATATCAATCACTGGATTGTCTAGTCAACCGTTATACTGAAGACTGATAAAGGCATGTGCCACTGATATATTGCGGATTGTGGAGTTAAACAACTAAATATATTTTGTTTGAAGCCAATGGGGATCACATGTGTGTCAAGTACAATACACAGGGAGGAAGAGATGGAAGGTGAAGCAATAGAATGCAACATAAGAAAGACGTAGGAACGCCCACATAACTTGCAGGGTATTCTTTGATAGACAAGGTCCCTACAGGTAATAGTTAACTGAAAGGTAGTGAGAAGAACTGGTTTTCAATGTTGCCTTTATGAGTCACCCAGAATGATGCTTGTACTCATATTGACTGTTGCCGGAAGTTACTACTAGTCAGTCGAGAATAAGGAGTGAGTGAGTGAATTTAATTTTAGGCCACATTCAGCAATATTCCAGCTATATGGCGGCGATCTGTAAATAATCGAGACAGTCCAGTGATCAACAGCACGAGCATCGATCTACGCAATTGGGAAGCGATGACATGTCACCGTGTCAACCAAGCCAGCGAGCCTGACCACCCGATCCCGTTACTCGCCTCCTACGATTAGCATGGGTTACTGAAGATCAATTCTAACCCGGATCTTCACGGGTACGGACTAACGAGTTAAACCATGGATACCCAACTCAGACAGTTCTACTGACCCGACCAGCCTTCATTTCTTTCCCTAAGCATTAGGCAAAGTAACAACGAGAAAAGTCGTTAACCTGATTGTGAAATAGCTGAAATATAGCGGCCTGTGGCGTAAAACATATTCAGTCACTCAAAATGTACGGTCACTTTAAGCAACCGAAAAGGTTCCAAATTTTTTTCCATATTAACTTTTTATATAGATACATAGATTATATATATTCAGATATCTTTGGCCATGGCACAGGTACCAGTTTGCACTTGTCGGGGGATACACAAAGTTAGTGATCTTGAGTACCAGGTTTCATCAGCGATGGCTGATGTTGCTGATGTTGTGTAACCTGATTGCTGATATTGTGTAACCTGTAGTCTGGTTTTCTTTAGGACTTCCTGTTACCCTCTACCAGTCGAGGTTGGGAGATGGAATGATATTCCTGTCTCAGAGAGAAAATGTCATCTGTATAATTTGCGTGATATTGGTGATGAATACCAAAATATATTTGTCTGCACATGCTTTAATGCTTAATTTGTACCTCAAATGCCGGTATATTGGCCTGGGCGAAATTAAGTTCAGTTCAATTCTGGTGATTAGGTGCCTCACTCACGATTACGACTTAATCCAAAAATAGTTACTTGAATCTGTAGGTTGCTAAGTCCCAAATATCCCCAATATAACGGATAATATATTCAGATAGATTGATTGTTTCGTTCGAAAATGATTTTACATTATGACAAAACACATACATGAATAATCGTTATTATTTATTGCATATGAAATTTACAAGCGACGCAATACATGACAAAGTTTTTATGCATAGTTACAAACTCATTAATATCTGCATGGCATGTACATAGACAGAGCAGGCACACAACGAGCACTTTTCAAGTGAAATAACTGTTAAACAGTATTAAAACAATTGCTTTACACTTTCTATTGCGTGTTCATATTTTCACGTGTAACGGGAATCCATTGATCCACTGACATATCTGATTATCTTTTAACCTTGTTTTCCTAATAAATTACGGTGTGCGATCTCGCAGTGCAGCACAGGACCAATACCGCTGTGGTAACATCCATTCATTGAAAGCTGTACACAGCGGTATTCCAGCGATAAAACGGATGTCGGTAGAATACTCGAGCCTGGCCAAGAGAAGCCATAGAGAACTACTCCTTGAGCATCGATCTATGAAATTTAGGATACGATGACATGTATAACCAATCCAGCGATGTTTTGTTTCGTTGGTTTGTTGTTTAAAGGTTCAGCAATTTTCCAGCTGTATGGCGGCGGTCTGTAAATTATCGAGTATGGACCAGATAATACAGTGATCAACAACATCAGCATCGATCTACGCAGTTGGGATACGATGACATGTGTTAACCAAGTCAGAGAGCCTGACCACCCGATCCCGTTATTCGCTTCTTACGAAAAACATATGTTCCTAAAGATCATTTCTAACCCTGATTCCCGGGTTCAAGTCAGCGAACTTGAATACCCAATATCGTTAGTCTCCTCTTACGGTGTATTCTCTTTTCGCTTGGCTATAAGCGGATTACGATTGCAGTCCAGTGCCTGCACAATTATAGTCTGTTCAAGTAAGTGGAGTTCACTACCGGCACCTTGAAGAAAGAATTGACCTTTAGAAACATATACTCTTTAACTGGTACCATCTCACCACTTGTTTATGGTGATGCCGTTTCTCATCCGGGGGGATTGTGAATGTGATCATTATGTCATGTGAAACAAATTATACAATTGTAAGTATTTATGTATAATGCACAGTGCACATAAATATTTTCCTGGTGTGACATTCAACGCTTATTTTGTGTATTGGCTGATTTACAATTTCATCATATTTGTCAGATAATTCATTTTCGTATATTTGTATATATGCAGTATTGTGCATGCATATTATGTTACATGCAATATTAGTAAAATTAAAAATGTCACCATATTTTCAAATGACTCGTATCCGTATAATTGCGGGTGCTATATGCAATAAACAAAATGTGATAAACTTTACTGTTTACCAGCAAGTGCTGGCATACTTGCATTTCTGCTACAGACTATAGCCCATTGTTGTAAGGATCAGTACGGTCCAGTAATTCTAATCCCTAAACAATACGTGCAGGCAAAAAGAGAACATCCCCCTCTTACACCAATCATGGGTTGTTGAAGATCAATTCTTGCCAAACCTTTACAGTTGATATTTTACTAAAACGTTAGGGTGGCATTGCTGTCATCTAATAACAATTTGAAAAGGGAATCTATTTTGACACATTTGAGAAATACATTGATCACGTAAACACAATCATTTTGTCGTGGATAGATCCAAAATCAAAAAACTAAACAAATTTCGTTTTTGTCATGATAGCTATCAATGTATGTTTTGTTTGAAAACAACTTTATTTTCCAAACGTAAATATGCAATGTTTACTGGAATGTATTGTTTGTTTTCAGAGATACATGTACATTTAATCAACATGTTGCACTGATGATATGCGCCAAGAGAGTTCGATTTTGACCTATTAAGGCCATGTTGGGTCTTGCAGCCAATTAGTGTGGTTCAATGACTATCTCCAACTGTTGGAGGCGCATCCCAATGAAACAAGGGCAGTGAGGATCCCCGGTTATATCTTTGACATGTTCTAACTTAAACAATTTCATGTAACTTCAGGTACAAAGTATTAGTCCGTGGGCCAGGTAAACATGTATATATAAAAAGCAACAGAAGCGAATGAAAAGAAAGGAAATTTTGGACAATTTTTCGGTGAAAATGTTTTTACATTCTCTCAAACACGCACTACTTCATGAAAATATATACAAACTACTAGCAAAAAGTATATATATATTTACAGATGAAGAACCCATCTGCCTTTAAACAGGTTCAAGATAGAAAAAGACTCAGGCCAGAATACATGACATTGTTCTTTACAGACTGGTCAACATCATCGTATAGACCAACAAATATGTTTCGTCTTGCTTGGCAAACCAGCAGTCATGGTCGATTTCTCAAATACTGTGTCTGACTATTTCATCCCACTTGTGAAAACTTTCCAACAACTTGCTTGCAGTTGGGACAAGAGTGCCTTGCGTCCTTCAAGTCGGAAATACAGAATGGTATTAGGCAGCAGAGCAAGAAGCACCTGAAACCAAAGAATACATATCATAATAAGTATGTTTAATGCCATTTGAATTCAACCCAAATAATTAGCATTGATGTTGTCGATTAACGCAGCTCTCTGAAATATTCAGGAGTGGTGGGGTAGCCCAATGGTTAAAGCATTCGCTTGTCACGCCGAAGACCCGGGATCGATTCCCCACATGGGTACAATGTATGAATCCCATTTCAAATGTCCTCGCCGTGATAATGCTGAAAAGTTGCTAAAAGCGGAGTAAAACTAAACTCACTCGCTCTGAAATATCCAAGCTATATCATTATGATATCGATTCTTTACCAGACAATCCAGGGATTGGAATCAAGAGCGCCCATCTACGCATATGGGATGCGAAGACCAGGTCAGCATGCTTGACCACACGATCCTGTTTGGAACAGGCATGGGTCGCTGAAAATCAGTTCTAACCTGGATCTACATAGGCCAATGAATCAGCGAGGAAGGTGAAAAACATACTGTGTTTTGAAAATAGAGTTAATTAACCTGTCGATTGATTGTACCAGCTGGTTGTAAACGAAATACTGTCTTCGGTGATGCTGCAAATCAACTGTTTGAATCAGAGGTGGTTGGTGTGATTGATAGACCAGTCAGAATAGAGTATTTTCAAAAAGCAGGATTTATGTTGATGGTAAGGTATATACCGGAATATAACATATGTTATATTTGGGATTACACTTTCTTTGTAAAGTACAAATTCTAGTACTTTTTGAGTTGAGCCCCATCCGGGATTCGAACTCACACCCTCAGAGTCAGGCACCTAATCGCCGGCACACAAAGTCAGCCGCCTAACCCACTCAGCTACCGCGACTTCCACAAAAATGGAAGTCGGACAACTGGTAGTCTAGACTGCCGGCTTTGTGTACCCCTCTGATAAGTGTTAATTGGCACGGCTCCCACGACCGAAAGCTATGATTACACAATGCCATTTAGAAAGTGGTCAAATGTAACATATGTTATATTTGGGATTACACTTTCTTTGTAAAGTACAAATTCTAGTACTTTTTGAGTTGAGCCCCATCCGGGATTCGAACTCACACCCTCAGAGTCAGGCACCTAATCGCCGGCACACAAAGTCAGCCGCCTAACCCACTCAGCTACCGCGACTTCCACAAAAATGGAAGTCGGACAACTGGTAGTCTAGACTGCCGGCTTTGTGTACCCCTCTGATAAGTGTTAATTGGCACGGCTCCCACGACCGAAAGCTATGATTACACAATGCCATTTAGAAAGTGGTCAAATGTAACATATGTTATATTTGGGATTACACTTTCTTTGTAAAGTACAAATTCTAGTACTTTTTGAGTTGAGCCCCATCCGGGATTCGAACTCACACCCTCAGAGTCAGGCACCTAATCGCCGGCACACAAAGTCAGCCGCCTAACCCACTCAGCTACCGCGACTTCCACAAAAATGGAAGTCGGACAACTGGTAGTCTAGACTGCCGGCTTTGTGTACCCCTCTGATAAGTGTTAATTGGCACGGCTCCCACGACCGAAAACTATGATTACACAATGCCATTTAGAAAGTGGTCAAATGTAACATATGTTATATTTGGGATTACACTTTCTTTGTAAAGTACAAATTCTAGTACTTTTTGAGTTGAGCCCCATCCGGGATTCGAACTCACACCCTCAGAGTCAGGCACCTAATCGCCGGCACACAAAGCGGAACTGTCAGTGGGGAATGTGTATGCTTGTATCTTGTTATCAGAGCGGAACTGTCAATGGGGAAAGTGTTTGTTTGTATCTTGTTATCAGAGTGGAACTGTCAGTGGGGAAAGTGTTTGTTTGTATCTTGTTATCAGAGTGGAACTGTCAGTGGGGAATGTGTATGCTTATATCTTGTTATCAGAGTGGAACTGTCAGTGGGGAATGTGGATGCTTGTATCTTGTTATCAGAGTGGAACTGTCAGTGGGGAATGTGTATGCTTGTATCTTGTTATCAGAGAGGAGCTGTCAGTGGGGAATGTGTATGCTTGTATCTTGTTATCAGAGTGGAACTGTCAGTGGGGAAAGTGTTTGTTTGTATCTTGTTATCAGAGTGGAACTGTCAGTGGGGAATGTGTATGCTTGTATCTTGTTATCAGAGTGGAACTGTCAGTGGGGAATGTGTATGCTTGTATCTTGTTATCAGAGTGGAACTGTCAGTGGGGAATGTGTATGCTTGTATCTTGTTATCAGAGTGGAACTGTCAGTGGGGAATGTGTATGCTTGTATCTTGTTATCAGAGTGGAACTGTCAGTGGGGAAAGTGTTTGTTTGTATGTTGTTATCAGAGTGGAACTGTCAGTGGGGAAAGTGTTTGCTTGTATCTTGTTATCAGAGTGGAACTGTCAGTGGGGAATGTGGATGCTTGTATCTTGTTATCAGAGTGGAACTGTCAGTGGGGAAAGTGTTTGTTTGTATCTTGTTATCAGAGTGGAACTGTCAGTGGGGAAAGTGTTTGTTTGTATCTTGTTATCAGAGTGGAACTGTCAGTGGGGAATGTGGATGCTTGTATCTTGTTATCAGAGTGGAACTGTCAGTGGGGAATGTGTATGCTTGTATCTTGTTATCAGAGTGGAACTGTCAGTGGGGAAAGTGTTTGTTTGTATCTTGTTATCAGAGTGGAACTGTCAGTGGGGAAAGTGTTTGCTTGTATGTTGTTATCAGAGTGGAACTGTCAGTGGGGAATGTGGATGCTTATATCTTGTTATCAGAGTGGAACTGTCAGTGGGGAAAGTGTTTGCTTGTATCTTGTTATCAGAGTGGAACTGTCAGTGGGGAATGTGTATGCTTGTATCTTGTTATCAGAGTGGAACTGTCAGTGGGGAAAGTGTTTGTTTGTATCTTGTTATCAGAGTGGAACTGTCAGTGGGTAAAGTGTTTGTTTGTATCTTGTTATCAGAGTGGAACTGTCAGTGGGGAAAGTGTTTGTTTGTATCTTGTTATCAGAGTGGAACTGTCAGTGGGGAAAGTGTTTGTTTGTATCTTGTTATCTTACCCAAATAAACACATGAAGAAACACACAATCCACTGCAGTGTACTGGTCTCGTCATCGACGGTGGTGGTGACCGTGGCGTTGCAGTGCTGGCAGATGATGAGGGCGGGAGTTCTCCTGTACCGGACGGTGTTGCCGAGCACAGCACCCCCAGGCTGATTGATGATCACAGCTGTAGGGGGGACAGTAATCATATGTGACGAAGAATGCACACTGAAAATCCAACCCCCACCCCTTTCTCACTAGATAAATAGCCGGAACCTTAAGTTTGCTAGTTCGGTTGGTGTTTAACGTTGCACTCAGCTATATTCGAGCTATAGGACGGCGGTCTGTAAATTATCAAGTCTCGACCAGTCAATATAGTAATCAACAACATGAGCATCGATCTACGCAATTGGGAGACGGTGACATGTGTCAACCAAATCAGCGAGTCTGACTTCCAGATCCCGTTAGTCACCTTATGTCAAGCATGGGTTGCTGAAGACCAGTTTTAACCCTGATGTTACGACACATGTTTCTACATCACAATTAGACATTCAACACGATTCTGACATGTTGATTGTGTGTATCATAGCACGCTCGTTCGACATTATCTGAAGGGTAATATGTCCATTTTCAGACATTCTGTAGATGTTGCGATGAAATAGCTAGTGTCCCTGAGACATTGCCTTAACCATTGACTACTGAAGTAATATACATTATATATTTTCACCAAGCCGACAGTGATGTTTAAGAGAATTAAACCAGTTTATTAGGACTGCAAATCTGCCCGAGTCAGCTTTCCGTCGTCTTCCAAAGGCAAGGGAGTTAACTCACTATATAATTAAAATAAATTGCAGTTAGTTAGCTCCCTTGATTCGAGAAGCCGGTTCCCCTGAACATAACACTGCACCACCATCCGTAGTTAGACTAGCAGTTTTCATAGGGTGCCTTCAGTGCAGATTGAATACATCTGACAGCTGTTATTGGATGACTGCGACGCAGCAAGTAAGATGTTTTAAAATAGATCCATCCAGTAATTACTACTTACCATATCTTTTAATATATAGTGCTGTCTCTTTTAACATGATGACTGAATGCTAACTCAGATATTTTGAAGCGATTGACATTTTGTGCGGAACAGGGGTTGGTCTGTTTAGCTTCCTGTACTCGGAAAAGGAGCTGGCTGAGGTGGTCATATTGGGTCTATATTTATATTGCTTCTGTAAGTTCAGACAAAGCGCGCATGAACATGTAATAGATGTTGGTGGCTTAGTTGTTTCTATAACAAATGTAGCATTGCTATAGATTTCAATGTGAAAAGTATTTAGTTTTGTATAACCTTAACAGGGGCGGATACAGCTTTTTGAGAAAGGGAGAGCTGCACACTCTTGACGCTTCATTTTCACGACGAGAGTTTCAATGGTCATTTAATAAACTTTCAGGAGAAAAGTGTGTGCACACATACCTACTTAACACACACACCCCAAAGTCACTTTTACACAGTATATTTTTGCAATAGGTTCCACTGTACTGTTTGTGGGCTTTCGCGAAACGGTTACGCATTTAACATTGGCGGGTTATCTCCCTTACATCACTGGAATTTCATATCTAAACGTTTCAACCCTCGGGAAAACTTTCTACAGCCTGTTAGAGATATGAATGTATTGTGTATGTAAATGTTTGCTCATTTTGATAAAAGTACATTCCTTACGGATCGTAATGGACGTACTAGGGTCATGAACATGTTAAATGAACCCGGGTCAACTACCGAGCGAGCGCACTACTCACAATCCGATGACATCTTTAGACTTTTACTAATGAGGGAAGCTTTTAACAGTCAAATACTCACTTGTATTTGCCGGTGGTCCGACAGGGTACCCTCCTGTAGCGGGTGGTGGGTGGCTGCCATAGGCATATCCTTGGGGCGGTCCCGGGGGGTAGGTTTTTGATTGTGGGTCCGTAGGAAGAAAACCTTGTGTCCCTTGTGGAGCTGCCTGGCCCGGGACAGATTGTGGGTAGGGTGGCTGGGGATACAGAGGTTGTCCCGGGGATGGTTGGGGATACTGCGGTTGTCCCGGTGGTGGCTGTGTGTAAGATTGTGGTCCTGTGGGTGGTTGCGAGTAGGCAGGTGGTTGCCCTGGGGGTGGTTGAGAGTAGGCAGGGGTTGTCCTGGAGGTGGGGATTGCTGTGGAAAGGGCGGCTGAACTGTTGCAGGTTGTTGGGGGTAGGCAGGTTGATTTGAGTAGGATGCCTGACCCAGGTCTGGATCCTGGGAAGGGGGTGCAGTTGCTAGTGACACATTCCCTGGGGGTGCGTCATCAGGGATGCGGTACTTCTCCTCGCTCATTCTATGACGCTGAATAATGGATATAACATAGTTCATATTATAATATATCTGAGTGAACATAGATACCCGTACCCATTTCTACATGAACGTTTAAATTACTCAGAGAGCGAGAGATGGTTCACAGAATCGCTGGGTGGATGAGCATACGTTTTCTCCGTATATTTGCTGCAACCTCTGAATGACCAACATCAATGGGTGTTCTGCAATTAACAGTTTTTGCTTTTAGATCAAGTTTTTTGTTTAGAATAGTCAACTTATCCAGTGACACACACACACACACCCACCACCCACCCACCCCCAACTTTTGATTTATTATCATTATCATCAACTATTACAGAAAGAGATGACAAATAGGTCAGTGTATTGTATATCTATTTGATAAACGTTTACCACTACCGATACAGAGATATGTATATTGGATTCTATTTATTTTACTGAACATTTGACAAAAAGAAGAACTTTGTATTATGCGAAGCTGTGACAAATATGTCAATCATGCGTGTCCAGTTGAGGTATATCTTTTGTTATAAAGACGTGGTATACAATAGGAAGCATGAAATATCAGGAAATAATTTGAATAACTTGAAAGTGTTCTTTATGGCCTTTAGGTGTGAGCAGGAATGAATACCAGACATTATTTGTTTGTTTTTAACGCATACCGCGCATATAAACAGTTGAGAATGTGTATTGAGGTGTGCTTATAACGACCAAATTATTAAATAAATTTACAAAATTATGTTAATAATAATGAGTTGTAATAACTGGTGATGTAATTGTACTGATTATAATTACACACATGCGTGATTTCAATAGCGACGGAAAGGGTGTTGTAAATCAATAATTTTCGCCTGTATATAATTGTTTTAGGTTTTAATGATATTAAACTAATGATTTCAGTTGTAAAAAGCGGGATGATAAAGTGTGAAGATAAAGTATTGGGTTTCAAAATGTACAGTGAAATTGATGTTGCATGATTAGCAACATCAAATTACATTTGTTCATTATTCAGACAACTTTAAATTACCCATTTTATACATAAACAGATCTATTCTGAAATGTATAACTATCACATTGACGAGGGGGTCAAGTTAAATTTATATAATGATAATGATAATTAACCCTACAACCGTATCAAGTACTCGCCTCAATAAATTAAATAAATAAATCAAATGCACGGCATGTAATATTAGTAAAAAATCTATTTGATATTGCTATGGTATCACCAAGTACTCCGCCATAAAACCTCTCTTCTAGACCAATGTTTATCATAACATTCACGTTCATATAATTGAGTAATTCGTATTTTTGTCAGTTTGTTATGCTTGCCTGTTTTCATCATTTCGTCGTTTTGGGGTCTTTAATGAAAGTTAATGCAGATATTCCACAAACAGTGTAGCGCTGCTGTCTAGAAGTGCATGTGTACCTAACGACTGCGTCATGGAGCACTTGCTTAATGCTGACAACATAACTATTGTCGTATGTCCCAACCCCTGTCTGTGATGAAATGAACCTCTGTTCCCATGTACATAGACACACACAAACACACACCTGCTAGATACACCGTATGTACGCGAGGACGTGTGTCATGCGTAACACTAATGTTGAAACTGATCCAATTCAGATCAATGAAGACGTTAGTTTCAAATCGATTTCCATCTTCGAGTGAAGATGTAGATGAGCGATTGAGTTGACATATGAAAATATCGCGTAGGAGTTATATTACCTCTGGTCAATCACCTGCACCGATATTTATCAATACAATGTTTGTTTCACTGCCACCACTTGTATGTTGTGTGCACGAACCTCTGCATATTCCATGATGGGACGGCTGAATATTCAGTCGGCCTCTGACAACCCTCGCACCATAATGTGTCTTCCGGATGTTCATTAAAGGTAGCTGGATGCTGAGTAAACATTCCGTTATATCGGGCAGTGACTACCTTAGATTTACCTGAGGGCAATGTCACACAGGTATAACCAATCAATACCGACCTCTTACCTTGTGATTTCAGACTCTGTTCACTCCTGGTAGACAAAACACAGGTAGCCAAGCCATTAGACCGTGAAGGTAGGTCACGCGTTGGCATTCGCTAGTGTGCCGTGTGCAAACCTGCCCGGGAAGAGAAAATGTATTTGCGAGTTTCACCGGCTGAGTTGTTGGTGTGTATTAACTGCTGGTTGAAGTACAGCTATATTGTGTACAGTCAACTAGCCAGAATGAATAAATGAATGAATGAATGAATGAATGAACCTTCCCTACAACCGATCCGATAAGAAATCATACATATTACACGAGACTCTCACGCATGCATTCGGTAATCCACAAGTCGGCTTAAAAACACTATTACATGCTTTTGCCAAATTTGACACACAATTTGATTTTAACATCTTACGTGGGGACCTAACTTCAGATGACAGTATGTACGAATTACTCTTTAAAACTATGTGTTTATTGTAGATATTACTATATTACTATTCATTGCGTGTATTGATAGACTGATAATTGTCTACGTGAAAATGGCAATCTAAATCAACGTAAATGGCGACATTAGCTGAACAACAGAATTATATATCAAATAAACCTGACTACCCAACCATGGAGTTCTGAGAACACACGTCCCCTGTCGTACACAGATAGCCCCATCCGCTTTACCGAAGTCTCTGTGTAACTGACTTTGAATGGTGAATACGCGTACCTGCTATTGACAAACTAAGGAATGTTGAACCCGACTTGACCCGTACTTGGCTATTTTCCACATGTTATTGATTCCTGGGGACACTTGGACAAAGCCATCTCAGCTCTACGACGATCGTAACTCTCATTCTTTAAGTAGACTTACGGTAGTCGTAGACGTTCGTAAGCTCCCAATGTGCAAGTGGGTCTTGGGTGAACACAAACATGTACTTATACCTGACGGAAACGATACCTGGACATGACGGTATGGAAGCATAATAACCCATTTCTCATATGTTGGTATTGGTCAAGGAATTACTGAATATTCCTGGAACCCGTTTCTCAAAGATCGGTTCTACGGTCATCGTAACTCTTATACTTTAACATAGGACCGCCTCCGTGGTGTAGTGGTTAGAGCGTCCGCCCGGAGAGCGGAAGGTCGCGGGTTCGATCCCCGACCGCGTCATACCAAAAGACGTTAAAATATGGTACTTGTTGGTCCCTGCCTGGCGCTCGGCATTAATGGGTCCAACAAGGACTGGTCGGCTCGGAGTCAGTATAATGTGTCTGAGTGGGGTATTCATGCTTCACTACGGCATGGTATCTCAGTGAGCTAGCACTATAAAACCAGCTTAAGCCTGGGCTAGTACAAGCAGCCGCACATACACACGCATGCACGTCGTCATATAAGCGAAATATTCTCAAGTACGACGTTAAACCCAATTTCACCTCACCTCACCTCACTTTAACATAGACGTACGACGTCTTAGCGCTACGATATTTTGTGAAACGGGGCCCTGATTTGCATTACCGAGTAATTTATGCACGGATGACAAAAATTAGTCTTGGGAGTAAATGATACACAAATATTAACAATTTTATGCTAACAAAACATGTTCCACTGTTATTCTCTTTAAGAATATCATTAATACAATTGAAGGTTTGATCTACTCTTGCGTGAAAGTTACTGCTGCTTGATGACATGAACTTCTACTAACTGTGGCTTTATGTTCATTGACTAAACATTTTCAACACATACATATGACAGAGTGTTTCGTGAGTTTTTAGTATTATATTAACGTATTTTTATTGTAGATATGTTGAGGACCCCGTATATTTCATTCTTGCGTTTGTGACGGGCGACCCCGGTTGCACAGGATACGGTCAACTTTTCCCGTATCCTGTGCAACCGGGATCGCTCGTCATAAACACACTAAAACAAGAAGGAAATATAAGGGGATGTCAAAATACCGAAATGCATCGGGCGTTTTTGTCCACAAAACAGTTGCTGATGGATAGTGATTCATAGGCATATATAGTCTAGTCGATATACTCAGAATCGTACATTGAACTCTGCTTTCAGCAGAGATTAATAATGATCATGGAAATAGTTTTGTTTGAAAAGTATTTAAAAACATATTTTTCACCTAAAACGTGTTCGCAAAGGCAATTCGACACCTGAAACTTGTAATATATAGTTTTATAAAAGCAACCAGATGATTTAACAACGTTTTCCTATGCAAAAACCTTAAAACAAAATTTAAGACCCGCCTCTGAAGATTCATTTATCATTATATCGTACATTCAATCTTTCATGCAGAGATTCCTGATTAGAATTGGTTCCCAGTTACCTATATGCTGGTCGTGAGGGGCGGCTTAATAAACACTGTCATTCCGGGGGATTATGTAATGTCAACTCCGTTGCTCATAACATCAACCACTGGTTTGCCTATACATATCTAAAATATTGCTGAGTGCAGCATCAATCAACAAATAAGCAAAACATATTTTTTAATTAAAATTATGCATCACTGTGCATCGACTGTTGTATTTTCCATGCTTTGATACACTTGTATAAGTACTTTCTAAAATCTATTGTATCTCCGCATATGGACTGTTGTACCTTCCATGCATTGATGTACTTGGTTGAGTACCTTGTAAAATTATGCATCACTGTATATGGACCTTCATATTTTCCATGCCTCAAATCTCCACTTTAAAGCTCTTGTATAAGGACCTTGTAAAATTATATAACACTATATATGGACTGTTATATCTTCCATCCCTTGATGTACTTCTCTAGTACCCTTTACAATTATGCATCACCGTACATGGACTGTTATATCCTCCATGCTTTGATGCACTTTTATAAGTACTTTCTAAAGTCTATTGTATCTCCGTATATGGACTGTTATACTTTCTGTGCTTCGATGTACTTGTATAAGTACCTTGTAATATTTTGTATCACTGGATATTGACTTAGTATATCCTTCGTGCCCTAAATCTCCACCTTGCTGTATATAGTACTTGTATAAGTACTTTGTAATGTATTACTGTATATGGACCATGTTGTACACAGAGCTGATGGCCCACACCACTGTACCGAAATAAAGAATATCGAATGCTATGCTTCATCTATTTCTGACGACGTTCAGCGAAGACACATAAACTACCTGTGCAAGCCTAAACCAGTAACTTGTGTGACACCCAAGACACGGTGAAGTCCACCATTATTGTGAAGAGCGGTCGAGTGTATGGTCGAGAGGACTCCAGATTTGTTGAACCCTGTTGAGATGTCGGGTTAACATAGATTCATTTCAAGGATAATTCAGTCCTATGGGGCTACTGGGTTGACTCGATGACTAAAACTGTTTGTCAACATCTGTGGCTTAAAAAATTGTACATTTCACATAGTGCCCACTATTGTATCATTTAACGACGAAAAACGTGTCAGGCTACGTGAATTGTACATCAACACAAAATGACGTTTATACAACCGGGAGGGTTATGGAGGCTTGTATTTACTGAAACTAAAGGTATAACACGGATGATATATTGTCCACGTAGTTGAACGATTGCTAACCATTATTGTCAAGTCACATAGTGGAACAATGTTTCCCAAAAGCAATATGAACTTTTGATTTCCACACAGTTCACGTTATCGATGATCAGCGTATTTGACAGTTGTTTAATAACCCTACCCCCTTGTATATCGGAAATCGAAAAAATATGTTTTTGGCGAATACCCCGTGTCATCACGTATGTCTTTTACGCCCATTCGAATATTTTTTACATATAATCGGTACTGATGTATGTATTACCTTAGTAATATACTCAAATCTTGAGACACAAGATAATGGTATGTGTATGTGCGTTTGTGCGAGAAGCGTGTGTTCTTTTACTCCTTGCGCAACCTTCAGTCATTAGGCTCACTCACCATTCTCCGAATTAGGGACAAGTTGTAGCTCTGAAGCGTCGTACCAAAAAGAGGTATTTGTCCATAAAAATTTGCATGGTACTGAAGAAATGATAATTCTTTTCTAAGTATTGTTGACAATAGTATACATGTATATACAATATAAACAATACACAAAAACAAAGCAAAACTAGTAATCCACTTGCTGAGGTCTGTGTAAGCCTTTCCTTTTTCTCAGTTTGTTATTTTTCGCACAGTTGCCACCTCCGTGTCGTTCAATACAACACCATCCCACTGGATATCACCCCAGACCGGTACAAAAATGTCAAATAGTTCCAGATTTATAATGAAATGGTTTCATTGTCCGTTGCGTAAAACTACACAGAGTGTTTTCTTCCAAGAACAAAAAAACAACATGGAAAGACAGATTTTATTATAAAATAGTTGAATCACAAAAGTTATCCATTGCATCAATTTCATTATATACAAATATCACAAAACGAATAGATGCAGACATAAATGTAAGTTCCAGCTGATCACACCCCAAACAGAAGAAAATGAGAGGCATCGATATCGTGCGTATTGCTTATTCCACTACAGGTTTACACTATATTCAGTGGTTAGACTGTATATAGACTTATATACTTTTCATTTCAACAACTTTTGTAAGATCATTTGTGAAAAAATATGTAAAATATATATTTCATTTTATGACTATGCTCCTGTCATCATCCCCTGACTATACGATTTGACATCCTATTCCGAATATCCTTAATTGCAAAATATACTTCCTAATGGCGTTCGGCTGAGGTCTAATGTATCGCTATCAATGCTAGCTGTGTGAGGAAGTATTAGCAAATGCTTATTCGTCATTCGAATCGTTCTCTGTGGGAATGATTCCGAAAAACAAATATTTGTTTGCAATGACCCCATACATCCTTCATATGACTAAATAGTTTCTCCTCCCTAGCATACACACACGTACACGCACGCATGCATGCATGCACGCACACACGCATAGATGCATAAACGCTGTCGTCCTTATCAGATACCTATATTTTCCTTTTACTAATCATGGTAAGAATGTGTTTTTCATATCAATAAAACTATAGATGGTCAAACCAATCAAAGTTTTTTTAACAAGATCTACAATAACAACGAATTCCAATGGGCCCCTTTCAAACAAACGACTGGGGCGCGACGGCTGTCGTGAGTCTACGTTAAAGTATGGGAGTTACGAGGGCCTGAGTGCTAAGACCGCTTTGTGAAAGAGGGCCCTGTTCACTAAAACCAGTGAGTAACTATAGACTTGTATATGGCGGAAATAAAAATAAAATAACTGATTGTATAAAGTGAAAAATGACAGAGTTAGGAGTAAACAATGCTGAATACAAATAGAAGCACACATTCATATATACACTTGTGTTACCGTTACGTCATGAAGTCTTTGGGTGACGTTTAGAAGTGATACACACATGCAGAATGGCAATGTATGTTCTTCTGTAAAATAAGGAACACGATGTTTCGGAGTATATTTTTAATCCTGATTTAACGAGATCAGGTGGTCAGGCTCACTGAGTTGGTTGACACTTGTCATTGTATCCCAGTTGCGTAGATCGATGGTCATAATGTTTTTCACTGGATTTTCTGGTCCAGACTCAATTATTTACAGACTGCCGCCATGTAGCTGGAATACTGCAGAGTGCGGCGTTAAACAACAGACAACCAAACTGATTAAGGAATAAGAACATACTCCGTAACGCCCTGTTCCTCATATCCCAGAAGTTGGCATCCACCAATCACCATCTCTGTGCTTAGCTTGCATATACCGGAAGTATGTACATCCGTGTTATTTTGATTTATTTCAGTGAATGGATACAATATTTCAGATGTATTAATTGATAACGTGAAGATATAAATGTGGCTTTTCATTTCATGATCAATATGTAAATATATGTGAAGATGTTACAGATTTATACTCTTATACCTGTTCTTAAGTGTGCCTTACAATATCGACAAACCTTTGGAATTCTGTATGGCCTTAACAAATTGTTATCTTCAGGAATGGGAAATCACGTGACATTCCCAGTTTGAATCTCATTCGAAATAAGGCCACCGGAAGGAAGAACCCAAAAGGACGATTTAACTGAACTGGCGGAATTTGCCGACGATCTGTCTGCAATTGGGGCAGCTGTGATTGACGTCTTTGCTGGCGTCAACGCAGAAGGGAATAAGGCAACATCCTAGCCAGCAGCTGCAAGAGAGAGACAATTCATCTGTTACAACTTTTCAATGGATGATTTCTCGCATTCAGTGTGTATTTCGAGCACCACACTTGGTATTGTTTGTGTTTGTGTTTTGGGCTGTTTAACGCCTGACTCAGCAGTATTCCAGCTATATGGCGGCGGTCTGTAAATAATAGAGACGGCACCAGACAAGCCAGTGATCAACAGCATGAGCATCGATCTACGAAATTGGGATATGATGACATGTATGAATCAAGCCTGACCACCCGATCCCATTAATCGCCTCTTACGACAAGCATGGGTCAATTCTAACCCGGATCTTCACGGGGAACTTGGTATTGTGCTCAGCATCGTGAGAAATCTATACAGAAACGATTCTTTCTAAATTGGATAAAAGGAACAGAAGTGCAACCGTGTGGATGTATATATATATATATATAGCTCCTTTCAAATATGAAGAAATAATTGCGATCATGTTCAAAGTCAAAGACGATTAGAGACACCATAGCTCTGTCTCAGAGGAAATGTTGAAAACGATATATCTGTAGGTCAAAGGTCGTAGTAAATGAAAAAGACAATATCTTAAAGTGTTTTCAAAAAGGTTAAACATAATGCAATTTCATTACATAATGCCATTCAAACATGAATATATACCACATCTGCACCATCCATTTGTGACAAAAATCGTAAAAATTATAAATATGCACCAAACTAAAATCTTAAAACACATACAACATCAACTTGCATGTGATGGTGCAAATTGCATGATACCTGCAGAAATGAGACAAAAAGTGTGTTTACAATTTGAGCACGTTGGCGGTCATCTTTTATTTCGGATCGAAATTGTTTGTGCTATCTTTGCTGGGATCAGCGACGTGCCACGATAAACGATTACGTGACTTCCAGGTATTGTGATTAAATTATCCCCCCAAACCCCCACCCCGGAGTATTACATATTCCACCATTTTTATGTTTCTTGTTTGTTTGTTTGTTTGTTGTTTAATGTAACAGTCAGCCCTATTCCAGCAACATGGCTACAGTTTGTATATCTGTAAATTGTCGAGTCTGGACCAAACAATCCAGTGACTGACTTTATGAGCATTGATCTAAGGAGTTGGGATAGGATATCCATCAAACCATGATCCTGCACGCATGTCTATGATGTCGAATACGCTATCATATTTTCATCTCATCGTCAGATTCATATAGACGACATAACATACCCTGGATAATGGCATGTGCAGTCAATGTCACTCGTCATATTATTGAGGCGGTGGGGCAGCCGAGTGGTTAAAGCGTTCGCCCGTCATGCCGAAGATCCGGGTTCGATTTCATGTTCCCACATGGGTACAATGTGTGAAGCCCATTTCTGGAGTCCCATGTCGTGAAATTGCTGGAATATAGCTAAAAGCGGCGTAAAACTAAATTCACTCGCTCATTAGTTGTTTGTTCCCGAGTTTTCGACTAGAGTTACTATTTACCCAAACAGACAGATGATCCCGGCAGCAGCCCAGGTGAGAAGACCAGTCTCGTACGTCATGCTTGTCGTCACGGTGGCGTTGCAGTGCTGGCATATGATGAGGGCGGGGGCGGTCCGGTAGCGCATCGTTGACCCTGGCACGGGGCCAACACCATAGCCAGGTTGTTGTAGAACCACGGCTGGTGTAAAGAAAGGACAGTGATCAATTCAAACAAGCACGTTATGAATACATAAAGTTGTCAAATGCAACCTGCTTCTGGCATTTAGCTGTATGGTGAAGAGGAACAAATTTTATGGATTGACAACTTTTTTTATTGCATTCTTCAAAATATGCGTTAGGTACACTTTCTCGGTAAAATGTTGGTTCTTGTACTTTCTGGTGTGTTGAGAGCAGTGCCGGATGGGACTTAACTCCCCATAATAATTAGAATCTGTACTTTACCGAGAAAGCGTAATTTATTTACCAAATAAAATATATGTTATGATTAGAATAGAAGCGACAAACCCCTTTCCACATTCATAAGAAATCTCTGCTAAAAGCAGAGTCGATTGTACAATTGTGACTATATGATGAGTATATATTTGTTTCAGCAGTATTACAGCTGTACGATGTTGTTTGTAAATCACGTTATATCTGCATATATCTTGGTGTAAAACGAAACTGTGAGCATGCTGGGATTGAATAGAGAATAAACATTATGTTTTGCCGCTTTCATAAATATTAAAGGAATATCGCGGTGGGAGATCCAATAAATGGGCTTCGCGCCTTGTACATATGTGGGGAATCGAAACTTGTAAAGGGAAACTTTATCTAAACAATAGCATGAACCGTATCATACCTGTTGGATGAGTGAGTGATGCTTTACGTAAGGTTATGTATTTCAGATTTATCACAGATATCGCTACACAACACACTGACTGACTAACAGAAGTGTGCCATTAATGTCAGGATACGAAATCAAATACTGTGACCAACCAATCAACGTTTGGACGACAATGGGGTTTGATTCAGACCCGTAACAGAGTGATGCAATAACTATAAACACATCAACAACAACATTTATCAATGTGTTTTCATAATTATGATTATCCAGAGACATACTTGTTTGTTGTTGTCCTTGTGGGTAGCCGCCAGCCGGGGGGTAGCCTCCAGCTTGAGGGTAAGGAGCTGGCTGGGGAGGTCCTTGAGCGTAGGGTGGGGGTGCTCCTTGAGGGTAGGCAACCGGTGGCGGTTGGTTGGCTGGTGGCGCACCCCCGGGATTTTTTTCGTCTGCCATGACTTAAATTTGTGAGGCCTGCGGGTGACAGAGAAAAATTTTTAATAACAGAATATGAACATTTGTGCTTTTGTATAAGTGATTAAACATGATGAGTGTAGTATTATAACCTCGGAGTATAGCAGGAGTCACCGATGATTCTGTTCTCCTGTTAATGAAGCGGTCCCTAGCGTGCAAGCATATCCGCAAGGCTGAGATGAATAGAAGTGGGGTTAAACGTCGGGTTCAAGATCATTAAACTCACGCAGAGACGTGCATGCGTGTATGCTCCTTGAACCCGACTGGACTGATACAGTGCTGGCCTACTCAGATATCTTACAGTGCTGGTCTACTGGGAAATCTTACAGTGCTGGCCTATTCAGATATCTTACAGTGCTGGCTTGCTATTCTCGAAACGTTCGTAGCCCTACGAACTTCTTGAGCCCATTCTTAACACATTGGCTTCGATCAAAGTTAAGAATTCTTAGGGCTACGAACGTTTCGAGAATAAGGGTCCTGGTCTACTGAGATATCTTACAGTGCTGGCCTACTAAGATATCTTACAGTGCTGGTCTACTGAGATATCTTACAGTGCTAGCCTACTGAGATGTCTTACAGTGCTGGCCAACTGAGATATTTTACAGTGCTGGTCTACAGAGATATTTTACAGTGCAAGCATACGGATATATCTTACAGAGCTGGCCTACTAAGATATCTTACAGTGCTGGCCTTCTGAGATATAATTTACAGTGCTGGTCTACTGAGATATCTTACAGTGCTGGCCTACTGAGATGTCTTACAGTGCTGGCCAACTGAGATATTTTACAGTGCAAGCATACGGAGACATCTTACAGTGCCTGTCTACTGAGATATCTTACAGTGCAAGCATACGGATATATCTTACAGTGCTGGCCTACTAAGATATCTTACAGTGCTGGCCTACTGAGATATCTTACAGTGCTGGCCTACTGAGATATATTTTGCAGTGATGGTCTACTGAGATATCTTACAGTGCTGGCCTACTGAAATATCTCACAGTGCTGGCCTACTGAATATCTTACAGTGCTGGCCTACTGAGATATCCTAAAGTGCAAGCATACGGAGATATCTTACAGTGCAAACCTAATAAGATATCTTATAGCGCAAGCCTACTGAGATATCTTACAGCGCTAGTCTATTTTGATATCATGGCAAAGTTTAACCAGACACATGATACTGAGTCGACCAACCCTATGGAAGGGTTGCCATATTTCGGTATTTCGCGCCCAGGATCAAACAACCGAACCTCCGCCTTCTAGTCAAACGTTGAGGTTTGATAGAGTCGAGAATATGGTAGAATAGAAGGGAGGGACATCGCTTTCACGCCTTCAATCAGAGAAAACGAGAAAACGCTACAACACGAGAAAGCGATATCCTTTCGTCGATCCACATCATCGAGATGCGGTGCCAGACTAGAACTAAGACAGCGAGTCTGTATTGCCGAACACCTGTCCTATTCCGGTATGTACACTCCACAACCCACCGGCCGCCACATTTTGAAACCAGTGCACTACAAAATACAACACAAATTTCGAATGATCGTTAAACTGAATGTCATTATTTATATATATAACGATATTATTATTCTCGCTAAAACTATATTGGGGGCGGCGGGGTAGCCGAGTGGTTAAAGCGTCTGCTCGTCACGCTGAAGACCCGGGTTCGATTACCCACATGGGTACAATGTGTGAAGCCCATTTCTGGTGTCCCCCGCCGTAATATTGCTGGTATATTGCTAAAAGCGGCATAACACCATTTTCACTCACTAAATCTAACTTGTATCCTAAACTAGTTCCGCAGCCTATCAGCCTACGTTAGTGTGAGAGTGTAATATGACACCCTTTGTCAACAATGTAAAGAGTAAGTCCAACAGCAGAAAGGTAATTCATTAGAAGTGGACTCTGTTAGTGATCGCCTCGTTGTTCTAGTCAATGCCTATGAGTGCTGTATCCATGGAGATCCAATGTTTGTAGTGAGTATGTGCACTGACGCTGTAGCCATGGCCACATGGTGTAATCAGTGGGTTCAGGTAAAATGGGCCAACTGCCAATCAGCTGACATATTGCCTTCGTAGCACAGATTCCAGATTCACAGTACGCTGCGTGTGTATGTCTGAGGTGTTTCTCAACAAGAAGCTGAAACAACATGAGTGAGTGAGTGAGTGAGTGAGTGAGTATGGTTTTACGCCGCTTTCAGCAATATATCACGGTGTGGGACACCAGAAATGGGCTTCACACATTGTACCAATGTGAAGAATCGAACCCGGGTCTTCGGCGTGACGAGCGAACGCTTTAACCACTAGGCTACCCCACCGCCCCTGAAACAACATGACCTTACACTTGCCTAATATTTGCCAATATAATTTATAGAAAGTCTCCATTTGACTTCTTGTGAGGAAGGAGAAAGCCTTTTTATATGTTGTCAAACAACATTCACATACAAATCAAATAAATGCTGACTTAAAAATTACTGCTTGAGGGACATATAAAATTCCTTGTTTAATTGAAACTGAAAAATGAAGTGAAAAATACTTCTTTACATTCGTGATTCATACGTCGGACTACGTCGATACCATATCGCTCCTATTTACAGTTGTGTAAGCCTGGTTTCTAAGCCGTTTGCATGCGCTTTAACCAATTACGATCTCACTATTTCGCTCGTAATATCCTCATTTGTGTTGACACGTGTTCTTTAGACACTGAAAATATTAAAGTATACAATATTATTACATTGACAGTTAGGATTGCTGGTACCATTTCTACAGTAATATCATGAATTGGAGTAACTATATCATGATTTGGATTAACTGGATAGCCTTAATGATAGTCATTATTTTGGGTTATCATTGATTCATTGTTAAGTACTGACATCAAGAACTGACTTTTTACATCAGTATTTCAACCTATACCCATACAGAGTTTGATCAGGTGTTTATGCTTAGATTCAGTTCATTTTCGTTAAGATCTTTAGTAAACCCAAGCTTGTGGTAAGCGATAACTGACGGGGCGGGTGGTCAGGATCGTTGTAGTGAGTGAGCGCTTTCTTACCAATATTCCCGCAAGATCACATTGGACCCGGGTCTTGAGCATGACGAGCGAACGCTTACAATGTAATTCGCATTATTTTACCTTCCGCCCAGGCCTTTCAACAGTGCCAAAAGCTCTACATTAAGCAAGTCTAGATTTTCTCAGGTTCTGAATCACCCATTTTACTGGAGCTCAATTTCAGTTTAAAAAGGAATAATTTGTTTCAATCATAATTGCATATAATTAGATACTAAGCGTTAGTCTAATTAGTGTCAGGTAAATAGAGGAAACGATTAGACTCTTTATAACGCCAAACCAACGGTGTCTAGCAATGCTATGTGAAAGGTCACCTGGTCTAGATGTGGTACACGCCGCTGAATGTGAAGAATGTCTGGCGTGATTAAGAAGCACAACATGTTCACAATGGGACGGCATGCCAGGCAGACTTTCCAGATGTAACAACACCTAACAAATAGCCACTGATCATCTACGAAATATTTACATACATATTCGGTACAGTGGAATGAAATTCATAACTATTTATTGTTTACATTATGATGGTGTTTGGACATTTCCGTGAAGTAAGGATATAGAGTTTAGAGACAAAAGTATTTACATACATATTCGGTACAGTGAATGAAATTCATAACTATTTATTGTTTACATTATGATGGTGTTTGGACATTTTCGTGAAGATGCTTAGGGATATAGAGTTTAGAGACAAAAGTATTTACTTACATATGCTGTACATAGAGAATGAAATTCATAACTATTTATTGTTTACATTATGATGGTGTTTGGACATTTCCGTGAAGAAGCTAAGGATATAGAGTTTAGAAACAAAAAATATTTTACATACATATGCGGTACACAGAGAATGAAATTCATAGCTATTTATTGTTTACATTATGATGGTGTTTGGACATTTCCGTGAAGTAAGGATATAGAGTTTAGAGACAAAAGTATATACATACATATGCGGTACAGGGAATGAAATTCATAACTATTTATTGTTTACATTATGATGGTGTTTGGACATTTTTACCGTGAAGTAAGGATATAGAGTTTAGAGACAAAAGTATTTACATACATATGCGGTACAGGGAATGAAATTCATAACTATTTATTGTTTACATTATGATGGTGTTTGGACATTTCCGTGAAGTAAGGATATAGAGTTTAGAGACAAAAGTATAACTATACATACATATGCGGTACAGGGAATGAAATTCATAACTATTTATTGTTTACATTATGATGGTGTTTGGACATTTCCGTGAAGTAAGGATATAGAGTTTAGAGACAAAAGTATTTACATACATATGCAGTTACATAAGCTTTATGGACTGTCACTTTCAATGAAATTCATAACTATCTATTGCTTACATTATGGTGGTGTTTGTAGATAGTCATTTTCGTGAGGTACATATAGAGATTTAGAGACAAAAGCATGGGAAATATATAAATAAACATCCAGATGACACTTGTACTGAAATGGTTATCATTTTAGTTACCCAACGGGGAGTCGGACTAAACTTCGTTGGTTGTTGGAGGCAATGGCTGACTGGCTGCGTTGGTCATTTAAAGTCATATATAACTGGAATACTGCCGAGTGAGGCGTTAGACAACAAACTAAACACATCTGACGTTACTGACGCGCATATGAATACACACAACTCCCGACGGGAACTCTACTTCTTGCCGACCCCCCACGTTTCTTTACGTTCCTGGAAAACATTGAAAGTAATGCTCGCCACTAACAAGCTAATAATAATTCAACTGGGTCACTGTGACCGAGCGGATTCGTGTACAGAGCCTGTGATGAAGTCGTTAGACCTTACAAGTAGCATGTTGAGTAAAAGTTTCCCAGCCCCGATCTCTGTAAAACCTGTTTTGTCGGGGTGATGCTGCATATTTCTTTGTTGTTCAATGAAGCAATCTTCAACATTACAGGTATATGACAGCAATCTTTGA